AAAAAGAAGCAGAAAAACTGGCTGAAGAGACTGAAAAGAAGATAAAAAGAATAACAGGTGATGTTCTCACTTCCACAGTGAGTGGTAAGCACTGTGTAGTCATGAATTCAAGGCTACAGTCCTTGCCCACAGACACACTAAGTTCACCCAAAATTAGGTTTCTAACAATTTACCTGGTGAAAATCCCTGCCTGAAGCTACTCATTTTAAAAGCAGTTGAATTGATTTGGCTTATGTACTTTTTCTGACTTAAATAGATTGCTGTAAGCAAAGGTTAAGAACTGTCCACACAGTGGACACAGTTCTTTCTTCAGTTTAAAAACAGGGCAAGTGCAAAACCTGCATAAAAACCTGGCTGCAGATTTAGCTGGAGGCCCTGATTTATGCATTTGCTTTGGGCACTTGGACCTTCTATTCTTCCTCTCTGCTCTGTCTTTCCCACCCAGGCAAGGACTTGTGTGACAGCTGTAGGGCAGCTGTTTTCCATCAGCCCATACTTGTTCCCCTTCAGACATTATCTCTGAGCAATGGCAGAGCAAACCAGCTACAACTACCAGCTACCAGTGGAGACTGAAGCTGGTGTGCCCTGAATCTGTGGGGCCGTGGCTGTCAGACAGAGGGGTCATGGGCCCTGCTGACCAGAGCTGCTGTGGCTGTGCTGTCACCACACGGGCTCAGAGGGTCACAAAAAGGAGGAGCACATCTCATGTCCCTGCACACAGGAAACCAAATTCTTATAGTCAAGGACTGGGCATTCCCACTGGGAACCCCTAAGCCTAGGATTCTGCCAGGCTCAATATCAGAAAATACCACATAACATCAGCAAAACTGAAGCAGAAACTCTATCCCAGGAGAATAGTCTTCAGGACAGGATCCAAATAAATATTTTGAGCACATACCTTGAGAAAAGGCATTAAGATTATCCAAGTCACTCTAAATGCCCGGATGATAAGGACATTAGAAACAGGCAGTGAATCCTGTGGGTATAACTCATTACCAATATCTTTACATTGGTGTAGCTTCACAGGAACCAGCATAAAACAGTTACACAAGTGAGGGAGACCTAAGCCCATCACACCCAAACTGTCTAGGCTTTACACACATCAGTGGACAACTGTCCCTCTGAGTGTTTCCATTTAAACCAAGCCCTTTAAGAGCTCCATGTCCTGTCCCATCCTAGCTGATGGACAAAAGCACATGCTGAGAAATTAATTTCTTCAAGGCTGTCATGCTCCTCTTGCTATCCAGAAGCCAGACTTTTCCATCCAGTTGCACATATAATATTCCCCATTCAAAATAGGCTTATTGCCTCTAGAACTTATGGGAAAAGAAATGCTGCTAATCACTGGATTTTACTTACACAACAAATGTGAGCATCATTGCTCACATTATTGCACATCTCTGCTCTTCCAGATTTGGAGAAGAAGCTTCAGGAACTGAATCAGACCAAACAAGATAAAGCAGAGCAACTGAGACAACTAGAGGAACAAGTGATAGCCATTAAAAATGAAATAATGGAGCAGGAAAGCAAGTATGCAACATGCAAGAGTTAGGGTCTGAACAGACCACCAGGTAAAATGAAGCTGAAATCACCATGATTATCACATCCTGAGCATCCTGGCACAGGCCGTCCGGAAATACATCTGAAGTGGCCTAGTGAATTATGTAATTTTGTCTTTTTTTCTTTTTCTTCTTTTGTCCAGTTGAGTTTATATGGAAATAGGAAATACATTGTAATAAACCATGTGATTTAGTAATCAGGTGTAGTCTTTGAGGGAGCTCTACAATATACTCCTGTGACAGTCTAGGGCTTCTTGTGGCAGGTTGGAAATGCAAAAGCAGGATTGCTCAGAGAGCTGCTGGTAGCTGCCTCAAAGACAGGCTCCCAACACCCCGTGTCTTCTGCCACCCCCTAAAATCCGTGCCATGACCTGCACGGGCTGCCCAGACTCGGACGGGGCGATGCCGATCAAGCCCTGCGGGCTCCCGCAGCCGCCCGCTGACAGCCAGCGGCAGCGCAGGCATCGTCACTGCTGCAGCCCCGTCTCCCCCTGAGGCAGAGCGGATCCCTCAGCAGAGCCCTGGCGCTGGGAGGGCCCCGCTGCTCTCCCCGGAGATGCGGCGGGCAGCAGCTCCGGCCGGGCGGTGGGCGGCAGAGCCCATTCCCCGGAGCCCGCTGGATGGCAGTGCTCGGATGCTCAAGGCAGAAAACAACTTAGAAATCTTTTATCGGGCATTGCCGCTCCTGCGAGGCACGTTTTTCTTATGCTTACAGGGGGTTTCACGCATTTTTCATTAATGTAACAACTGGAGAATAACTCCAGCTCTCAGGTTTAAGCTGTGAGTCTAAAGGGCCAGAAATGTTGAAAACCAACTTCTCCAGCTGTTCTCCCACAATGCAGCACTTCACAGAAGTCAGGGTTCACTCAGCAATTTCTTTTAGCCATCAAGAACAGATGAACTAGCTTGAATTTTAGGCTGTAAGTACTTATATATATATATATTAATAAAGAAGGAATCTGTGGTTAAGCAAGTGGTACAGATGTTTTAAAAAGACTGAAGTGAGCTACACCTCAGTTTCAAACTCCCACCCTTTTATGCATACTCCTGCAGGACACAGAGCAGACTAAGGATGGGTTTTCCTCAGCCAAAACCAGTTGTGTCATTGCTGGCTGGACTGTCCCACTGTGAGAGACTTCACTCAGCACGGTGCTGCTCCAGAGCTCGGATGCAGCCCAGACCACATCTGTAAAACTCAGGAATGCTCTGCGGGAGCACAGGGCTCTTAACATTTACTCATGCCAGCAGCACCCGTGAAACAATCCTTATCGATCCCACGGAGATAAACACTGCATAGTCATCACCCTGTGTTTACAAGAGCTAAAGCAGCATTGGTATGCGCTGGGGGCTTGGGTGGGAATTGCTGGCAGATGAGATTTCAGAGATACTCCTCTAACTCAAACCAGCTGCACTCCAGGGCAATGTGCAACATGCATTACACTGTAACACATTCTGTTGTGAAAATAATGGAATCAAATTAGAATTTTGATATCATCTAACAAAGCCACCTGAACTCAGGAATGCACGGAATTTGTGGGTTAGCATTTTCTGAATTTTAGCACCTGTGAGGAGTGAGGCTTCTTTCTAAGTTACTAAGCTGTAATCAGATGATTGTATTTAGGCTGACTTTGACCTGATGAAATCAAACATCTCTGTTTCACTCGGAGCACACACCAAGCTGCTCACGTGCAGGTCTCCAGGTAATGAAGGATTTTCTGCAGGTTTCAATGCATCTCTGCTGGACTGCTGGAAGAGGCAAACTGAAGCTCTTTGACAGAAATTCCCAATTGCATATAAACCAAAATTATTTCATTCATATTTAAAAATCTGAATTCACAAGCAAAAAGTTGAAAGAGAACTTCCTCCTAAAATCCACTGTTGACTATGAGAATTGCTGAATGGCTTTCCACAAGCTGCATGGATGAGAAATCTGTAAACACAAGGCAGTCAAACAAGCCTGGAGAGGAGATGTATGCATGGGGGGAAACAGAAATGGCTGGAAGGAAAGCGGAAGCAGGAACGAGAAATTCAACACAGAGTCTAACCTCCCCTCCCTGCCTCCAAGCATGCTCAGACACAAAGGAAACAGATCTGATGGGACCAGTGGCCACAGAACTCCAAATCCATCCTGTGACAACTTCTGAGGTTTACAACTATGCAGCATTTCCCACTGGCAGTGACACAAAAACTTTCAAAGTATTTTTTCAAAATTAATTTGTGGGGAAAATGCTGTCTCTAGATAAAAAAAATACCTATTTGTAGTTCCCCCTGGACCTCCTCCTTGTGGGCAGAAATGGCTTCAGAAAACTGTTTCTTGAAAAAGAATTGAAATAAGTTTCCTGCTGCAGAGCATTTTTACTTCAATGGCATTAATCAAAATGCAAACAACACAATCAAACTGACATAGAATCAAAGATATATTTAATCAAAATCATATCATCAGCTCTGTCTACCAGGCATTTGATCACTGCAGTGTTTTAATAAGAGCATGGCTGATCAAGTGGGTCCCACTGAGGTCAAATTGTAAAATTTTGTTTTTTGAGACTTCCACCCACACACAAACACGGACACTCCAGGGCAGTAAAGGTGGTTCACCAACCACAGGATAGGGCACAAAACTGATTTTTTATCATTTGAAGAATCAAATTAAAATACTCCCACTCATTATTTGTCATGAGCACTGCAGAGAGGGAGGGACACAAGTCCCCTGTTCCTAATTCTTGCACACTGAGTGTGGTGGTTTCTGTAATGTCTGAAAGAACAGCACAGTTCTGGGTGATGGTGGCCACCCCAGGCTGTGGCTGGAGCTCCAGCTCAACCCCTGATGTCGCACGGCAGGGTCACCCCCAGGCTGGAACAAAGCACGTTTTCATCCTCTCTGTGCCAGGGCACAAAGGAGCCTATAGGGGTAGATAGGACTTCTACAAGGCTATGAAACAAGAAAAAAGAAAGAAAGAAAAAAAAAGAAAATTTAAAAAAAAAAAAAAAAAAGAGAGAGCAAAAACTTCAAAGCTGGAAAAATACGACAGAAAAAGTCCAGTGGCAATGGAACAGTTGCACAAGGGGTGATCCTGCTGCCCATCTGCCATGGGCCAGAGAAGGCTCTACCAGCAGCAAAGTAAAACATTTTCTGTTAGTGGGGGGACAAAATGTTTGCTGTACTGAAGCTTAGGAAATACAACAGGGTTATGAAACTGAATTTGTTTTCTGAATTTAGAAGATCACATGGGAGAAGAAGTTTAGAATATTACAATTCCTGCCCTGTCACTGTAGAATGATTTAATTTTATGGATATCTTTAATGAAACAGCTCCACAAGTTCTTTAATCCAGAGTCTTGGGTTATGTTTCAAACCTGGTGTTTAACCTTTAGGGCAAGTCACTTGGTATCTCTCTGTTTCTGCTTATCCATCTGTAAAATGAGAATGAACATATTTACCTACCTTGGCAGGGTTTGCTGGGCCAGACAGACCGTGGTGTGTTTTCATTCTGGCACTGCAAATAGTGAGGGCAAAGTGTTCTTGGGGGGCACTGGTACCTGGTAAAGATTTACACAAGTACACGTGTTACACGTGTGCAAGCAGAACCTGGGTACATAAACCCAGGCATTCGTCCCAGCCACGTCCATCTTTTATACAGACTCCTAGGCGTTTATTTAACACTAAACACTTTCCCTGGGTGCTGAGGGAACTCTGCCCCACAGAGGCCAGGGCACTGATGTGGGAGGCTGGGGCGCAGGGGCAGCTCCAGCACAGCCATTCATTCCTTGCAGCTGCCTCAGTGCCCCTGCGAAGGCAACAGTGCCCTGTGCTCCCAGGGAATGTGACACAGCCTGGCAGTGGCTGCTCTAGGCCAGCTGGACCTCTCTGCCTGTGCCAGAGCCAGACCTGGCAGCACAGCCACCATCCCCAGCAGCGGCACTCCAGAGCCACGTGTGCTGGCACTGCAGCACCAGGCAGAGTGGGGCTGCTGAGCCTTGCGTGGGACAGTTGTCAACCCCCTGGTTCTTTGCTGGGTTTTGGGCCTTACCACACAAGTATGCACCACTGTCCGTCCATCCATCCATCCATCCATCCATCCATCCTTTCCTCACAGCTTCATCCACACTAGCGGCAGAAGGCAGGATTAGGTCAATAACCCCATTCCTTCATTGTTTCTCCACCGACAGGGGCAGGGACGGGGGGCACCCGATTGCACCTATCCGCCACCCCCTTCCTTTCGCGGCACCCTGCCCAGAGCCCGCTCCGGACGCTGGAAGGAGCACAGTCTGCGGGCCGGGGGGCTGCAGTCCCCGGTGCCCCGCTCGGGCTCCCTGGCCACGGCGGGACAGGACCTCCCCTTGCCTCCCACCCGGACTGAGCTGCCCTTCCTCGACGGCTGCGCTGCCTGCCCCGGCGAGGGGCCGGGCTGCCCCAGGGCGGGGGGCCGGGCGGGAGGGGCTCGGCCCGGCCCCGCGGATGCGGAGGGGCGGAGGAGGAGGAGGAGGAGGAGGGCCAGGGCTGGGGGCACCCGGCGGCGCGGGGCCGCGGTCGGGAGCGGCGGCGCCTGCGTGGAGCGGCCGGAGCAGCGGCGTGCGGAGGGGCAGCCGCGTCCCGTCCCGTCGTGTCCTGTCCCGTCCGGTCCCGTCCCGTCCTGCCGCCCGCCATGGGCCGCCTCCCGCTGTACCTCTGCTGCTGCTGCCTCGGTAATCCCGCTCGGCTCCGCTCCGCTCCGTTCGCCGTCGGGGCGCGGCGGGCAGGGCGCGCCTGGGCAGCGCCCGCCGGGGCGGCTCGGGGCGCCCAGCCCGGCCGCGCTCCCGCTGCCCTCTCTCACCCTCTGTCCCCTCTCTCCCTCCGCGCAGCGCTGTGGCCCGCGGCGGCGCAGGAGCCCGAGTACAGCTATGGCTGCGCCGAGGGCAGCTGCTACCCCGCCACCGGCGACCTGCTCATCGGCCGCGCCGCCCGCCTCTCCGCCTCCTCCACCTGCGGCCTCCGCCAGCCCGAGCCCTACTGCATCGTCAGCCACCTCCAGGTGAGCGCCGGGCGCGGGCGGGCAGCGCTCCCGGGCACCGCGCTCGCTGCCGGCGCTGCGGGGCTGTCCCGGGGCTGGGGCAGCCAGGGCTGTGCCGGGGCTGTGCCGGGGCTGTACCGGGGCGGTGCGGGGTGCGCCCCCGCGGGCAGCCCCCGGCCCGGGGGAATGGGATGGGACGGGACGAGCCGCCGCCCGCGGGTGGGAAGCGCGGGCAGCGGTGCCCGCTGGGGCAGCATCGTGCCCCGTGCGGGACTCCACACCCTGGCTCCAGGGAATCCCCCGCGGCTTTCGGATCCGACCCCCCTTTCCTGATCGAGGCCAGTAAGGGAGAATGTGCCGCAGTAAGTTCAATTAATGCTTTATTTCCCGGCTCGCTCGGAGCCGTCTAGACAGCTTCCTAAAGGAGAGTGGGCTGTAGGGCTCGGCAGTGTTTTGTCCACAGTCCCCATAATGTAATCGCATGTGTATGGTCTCAGAGTGAAAGGATGTGAATAAAGTTGTCTCAGCACATCTGGTGAATTGTTGCCTTTTAAAGCCAGAAGCAGCTCAGCAAACTTAAAATCTCTGAGAGAGAAGGGATGGTGGAGAAGAATAAACTATCAGTTATACGTGGAACTCTGTTGAACTGAAAGTAAAGGGATAATCTCCGGACGAATTACTGTGGAGACAATAGGGCCGGATTCTGGCACTTGGAAGGAAAACCACAGGAAGCAGGGGAGGCTGTAGCACTTGACTCATTTGTGCCCTGAAGTTACCAAGTCTCCCTTCATCCTTTCCCCACCTTTAGTTTTACCATATAAGTTCTGTCTAATAGCATTAATACTTTATTTGACGTGGGATTTAGCTTCACTGAACATTTTCTGTGTACATTGGGATTGACCTCAACAGTGTAAGCATCTCTGGTAGAAAAAAATAACAAAGGTGCTTTGTTACATTTTCTTGTCACTTGTTGAAGTGCCGTTGTAAAAAGCATCACTTCAGAAGCTCTCATGTACCCATATTCCTGATCTCCCAGCCCTGGTTCAGCATTTGGGATGTCCCTGGTTATTCTGAGGTACAGTGTGTGGTATTGAAGAAATCGTGGGAGTTGCCATTATCCTCTTAGTAACATGAGGCGTGGCTGCACTGAGTGCTTGGCAGAATTAGGTCTTCTAGGATTCAGTTTTGATCAGAGAAAAGGAGCAAGTTGTGGCATGAAGTGTGGGGGGAGAGAAGCCTGGAGCAGACAGTAGGGATTGTCTTCCTGGGACCCCTGCTCTTGCCGTTCTTTCTGCTGGAGGAGTGTTTGAGGGCTCGTGGGAGGTGAAGCCCTGAGCTTGGGAGGAGCCACTGAAGCCAGAACTGGTGAAATGGAAAGCCTGTGTGGTGCAGACCTGCCAGCTGTCACATTCTTGGCTGATAAAGCATAGCATTTGTCTCCATAAACGTGCTGGAGGAATGATGCTTGTGTGGCTTTCGGCAGGGATGAGTTGTTGGTGTGTTGGGGCTCCTTCACTGCCATCCAATGAGCTCCTCTCCCTCATCTGCCCCCTCCCGTTGGTCTGGGCAGGAACCCTCCTTTTTGGATCAGTTTGCACCTTACCTTGCAGTCAGAAAGTGGTGGTTTTAAGCACAAGGACAATGCAAAAATAGCACTCTTTGTAGTAATAGCCATGATGGCATTTTGTCCCCTAAGAAGAAGCTTCTGGCTTTCCAAGGAGCACATCCCAGACTTGTTCTGATGGTTTTGCTTGGGCAGACCTTGTAATGTGTGCAGATTGACTTTATGTACACAGTTTGAGGTTGCAATACCAGCTGAAGATGCGAGGTTTGGGTAGGAGTTGGACAAGCTGAATTTAGGGAAAAGGGCTAAATCGCTGAGGGCCCCTGGATGTGCTCTGAGTCTCATGGGAGGTATCCCTAATGCAGACAGCTTGCATCTCCAAGCCAGCTTCCAAAAGCCAGAGTTATTTCTCACGAGCTGCTAAGATGCAGTTTTGCACGTGTGCATTTTTACAGAAGCAATTCAGCAATTTTCTGTAGATGTTGCCATTGGTTTTGAATTCCACTGGAGAATACGTGCACTGGAAGAGATTTTCTGAAACTGCAATTTTCATTGAAAGCATGCTTCCCATAAAAATGAAGTTTATGGAATTCCTGGCATATTTTCCATTTGGCAATTTGCATTAATTCATCGAGGTAAAAAACACTTAGCTTTTCAACAAAAAAAAAATCTTTGATGACTCCTGCAGGCAAAATGAGTGGAATGTGATATGGATGGAAAATACTCTTATCTGCAGGAAGCAACTATTGCCCCATGGATGAAATCAGTAATGCTGATTATCGTGTTGTTTCAGGAGGACAAAAAATGTTTCATATGTGATTCGGAGGATCCCTTCCACGATACTCTCAATCCCGACAGTCATCGCATTGAAAATGTTGTCACCACGTTTGATCCCAATCGCCTGAAGCTCTGGTGGCAGTCGGAAAATGGTATGCGGTTTGTCCGGGGCAATTTCCGGGGCTGGGAGCTGTTTTCCCTCCTTTTGTTTAAGGGTACCTGTGGGTTTGCTCTTATCTCTGGCCTGCTGGTTACTGCCCTGTGAGGGATCACGCTGTGTGAGGAGCCATGAGTAAAACTGGCTGCTTTTTGTGCCCTGGAGCAGTCCTTAATCTGTAACAAAACCCCTGGAGTCCTCCAGGAGTGTTGGAAACAGCCGTCCAAGCACTCTGCAAGAGTCCTTTCCTAAAGAGATGAGTTTCCCACACTGGCCTCAGATATTCCTCATATTTGGGCAGCAAGAGCAGAGCAGCCTTCCAGGAGTAAAAATCCCTGGGCTTCCCCACGCTGGGGGCTGGGGAAGGAGGGGGTTTGGGTGCAGAGCTGGCCCTTGCCCTGCCTGCACGCCTCCCATTTCCTTTTCCTACCCCAGGACAGTAAAGCCAGGGATATCTCTTACCCTACATGCTGCATTCTCCCTCCTAAACTCCTTGAATTTCTGTACCATTTGCCAAACAAGAAAATTAACAGCAAAACCAAGCCAGATCGTTAAAAACAAAAATTGCATATTAGTTTGGTGGGGTTTTTGTTTTTTCTTTTACTCCTTCCTCCGCCTGTTTTACTTTTCTGGTTATGCTTTTGGCATGCCTTCATACACAAAACAAGGCAGCAAGGGTTTCTCAAACAGCAGTCCTACCCTGAAACCTTAAAGCCAGCTGGACAGGGTGGGATTTCTGCAAATGCATTGGCAGCAGATGCCTCATTGTATATGAGGGAAAAAAAAAGTAATATTTTTAACAGTTTTGCTGCCTGGTAAAGAAAGATTTTCACTAAATCCTTTTTAACCATTTAGATCAACTGCTTGCCGCCAGCAGTTCTCTTCCAGCATTCCACATAATTCATGTTTTTTGCAACAGGCTTGGCAGCATTCACACAGAAAAGTTTCTTAGCTCATAAGGTCATGAAAATGTCCTTCAACAATAAAAAACAAATGATTCTTTCTGTCCAATTCATGTTTTCAGGCATACAGCATAAGGGACCATTGCTGCATGCTTCACAGAAGGTTACAGCTGGTCAAAATTTTAAGTGCCTTATTGTTTTATTATTTTCATTTCTTACCCTTTCTCCTCTCTGTAAATCTTGATTTTATTTTTTATTTCTAACTACAGTATAATTAGTATCCAGCTGTTTCGAGAGCTCTTTTCACAAGGCAAAATAATATTTCTGGCTGTTTTTCTTCCTTTCTGTGTAGAGTCCTTGACCACAGGTTTGGTTACAGCAGTTGGAAAACCTTTTTCCTCTCACCATTTCCTTAACCCTTGGAACTGCAAAGCAGGACTGTGATAGTTGCTTTAGGAGTGTCTCAAAACCAGGTTATAAAGGAGCTGTTCTTGTGGACAGGAGAGTCCAGAGTGAGTGAAAAATGGGGAATGGCCCCCCCAGACATCAGTGAGACTGGGGGTATTAGGGCTGCAGAAGCTTGTGCTGCTGCCAAGAGGCTGGGCTGTGGGAGAACAGCCTGCAGCCACCACACACATCTGGGCTCAGCATCCCCAGCTGGACTGGGGGCTTTGGTGCCAGCACCCAGCTTGTGGTGGGCCCATGTTTGCCCAAGTCCAGCGATGCCAGGCACACCATTGTCTGTCTCAAACTGCACTGCAGGCTCACGCTCTGTGCTGGGCTCCGTCCTTGTAGCGCGGTCGGTGCTGATCGCGCGCAGGAATCCCATGCGTGATGCTCTTCAGCAGGTTCTTGGTGTCTCCCTCTCTACCTCAGGCACACACTAAACCATCATATTCCTTTTCCACATCAGAGCCAAGTGGTAAAGAAAACAGTCTCATGCCAACAGATTGAAGAGCTTTGGCAAAATTTTGATGTAGAAACGGGCAGGTGTATTTGTTTGCTGAACTCCTTCTTTTCTCTGCCCCTGCAGGTTTGGAAAACGTAACTATCCAGCTGGACCTGGAGGCTGAGTTTCATTTCACTCATCTCATTATGACCTTCAAGGTAAGAAAGCCACAGCCTTACCCCTAAAAAATGAGGAAATCGGAGGTCTGATAGTCCTTCACATCTATTTGATATTTGGGATTTGGGCTTTGTCTGAACTGTTTGGCCTGAGTTTTTCAGAGCTGCCAACCATTAACCAGTGCTGAAGTCATGCAGAAAGGCAGAGTACTGATTTGTCTTTGAATTCCAGTGAGGCTGCAGAAGGAGTCATGCTGAAGCTGGGTTTTGTGTTGGTGTGTCTCTGGTGGTTGTATTCTAGAAGATTGTTGGCTAAGCCATGTAGCAGCAAGGGTTTTTTTCCTGAAAAAAAGTTGGCCATGGTATCAAGTTTTCATTTGGCAAATGGAAAGGTCTTCAGGAAGAAGGAACATCTGTACACAAAGTGTCTTTGTTTTTTTACAAACAGATGTCTTGGAATGGTAGCTTACGTCCTGTACATCCTAAATGTTTTTCCCATGTGGACAGATTAATCTCTTCATTTTTACGCATCAGCTTTCTAGGACAGCTGGTTCCTCTTTCCTGTGGCATCCACTAGGGTTTCTCCTTGTGACTTAAGGTGGTGGCTGAGGTGAAAGGTGGTCATTTCTACTGAAGCCAGCAGTGAGGGACCCCCAAAAAACCCTGACACTGCAGACATTGTACCCCTTGGTCTGCTGTCGGGAGGAAGACTGCAGGGGAAAGATAGTTTTAATGATGCCTTGTGGGCTTTGTGTGGTAGACAGTTGAGCTGCCTTACTTCTGGGCTGCTAAATTTTTTTGTTGGGTGACATACTAGTTTCTAAGTTGGGTGATATTTTCAGCCAGGAAGCAGAGAGACTGAAATGCTTTTGTGCTTGGCTCTGGGAGGTCCTCCTCTGAATACATAAAACTAAGGAAGAGATTGTTGCCATTTCTTGGTAGGTACAAGCCAGGGTTAAATAAATATCTGGTTTTTGAAAGGCAGCACAAAAATTAAAACATGATTTTATGTACGTCAGAGGAATTATTTTTTTTTTCTAAACTTCATGAGTTTGTTGTTCTAGAGTTGGATACATGTAGGTAAGTAGGACAGTGGTTTGTGTGAAGCAGATGCAGCCTGCCAGAGTCTGGACAAGGCCAGCTGGAGGAGAGTCACTGGGGACTGGGGCAGTCAAATGGAGCATGAGTGGATGAAGCTGAAACTCTCAGTCTCCATAAAGAAGGTTTTCTTAAGGCAGCACAGAGGACAGCTGGAACATCAGGGGTGCTGCAAAAGGTCATGTGGTCAGACAAAGGAAATGCTGGGGCTTCTCTGAGCTTCAGAGGTACCTGCTCAGCAGTAACTTCTGGATCTCAGAGCTGGGTGGGAGGCACTGGCAGTGACCTCCTGCTCCCTGCAGCAGCAGAGGAGGCCCATTAGGTCCTTTGTAAAAGATCAGGCAAAAAGATACAACAAGGAAGAAGGTTCTGCTACTTTCCACAAGCTGTGGGAAAAAATCTTTTTGTCTCTGTAAAGCCCTTCTTTAACCCCCACTTTTTAGAAAGGGTTTGGAATCAAAAAAACTTACAAGTTTTTGTGTTTAAGCCCTTGGCCACTGAGTGCTGTCTTTTGAAGATGGGTAGTAGTCTATGGTTTGATGAGTGTTATTTCATGTATCTGCCTCTGAGAAGAAAGTGGAATATCATCAGAAAAGTATTTCCAGTATTTCCACATATGGGAAATAGTTGGTGCAGGGAGAGAGATTAAAATCCAGACATGTGGATTGCTCACACTAGTAAGATTTAATGTACATGCAAATAATAATTAACCAAATGAAATCTCTTGTTTTTCTAACTGTTAGACATTCCGTCCTGCTGCAATGTTGATTGAAAGATCGTCTGACTTTGGACAGACTTGGCACGTTTACAGGTATTTTGCATATGACTGTGAGAGCTCATTTCCTGGGATTTCAACTGGACCCATGAAGAAAGTGGATGATATAATCTGTGATTCCCGATACTCTGACATTGAACCTTCAACAGAGGGAGAGGTCAGAGACAATTTTTCTAATATGTTGATTGTGTAGACTTTTTCCTTACAAATTTGGATTCTCTTATTTTTGAAGCTGAATCTTTTGTTGTTTGATTTTTCCTCCAGGTGATATATCGTGTTCTAGATCCTGCTTTTCGAATTGAAGATCCATACAGTCCAAGGATTCAGAGTATGTATGCAGTTGCCTTTCAGGCTGATTTGAGAGCATTTCAGTACTTACTTGCTTACAAAAACAAGTAATCCACTAACAGATCATGCATTAGCCCTGATAGCAGTTTTGAAGTCATAGGAATACCTTTTCCTGACTCATACAGTGATGTGCAGGGAAATAAAGATCAGTGTTGTGAACTCAAGGGATTGCTCTTGCACACTTCCTTGGATTTGGTCCTTTTCTTAATTGATCAGAGATTTATTTTCATTAAAGACCCCCTTTCCCCAAAATACATGCAGTTGCCAAGAGAAACCTTGGAATGTGATCCTGTAATTGTACAGTATTCAGAAAGCAAATGAAGAGAGCTACAATGGTACTTATTTCATTGTGCATTTCTAGCTAAAATCATTGGGGTTGTGTTTTATTTTTCAGAACAAAGTTGTGACTTTGGAACAGTTTGCCATGGTAGCACTGCATGTCTGGGCCACTCAGATGTGGTCATAGCTAAAATCATTGGGGTTGTGTTTTATTTTTCAGAACAAAGTTGTGACTTTGGAACAGTTGGCCATGGTAACTGTTGGGGCATGTCTGGGCCACTCAGATGTGGTTGTAAACCACAACTTGCTGTAGTGTTCGTGCATGGTCATGGCAATACATGAGGGATCTGTTGCTCAGTTTAAGAGAAACCTTGTGGGGTGTTTGGCCTGAGGGAACTGCAGTGCTTGGCCTTAACCTGACCTCTGATTTAATATGCATTCTCAGGCTGGGTTCATGTCCTTCAGTGTAAAGCTACCTGGAGCAAAAGGAAATATGTGAAGTAGAGGAGTGTCTGCTCGTTGCTATGAGTTTAATGTTTTTTTTTCTTTACTCAACATTTTAAAGGAGAAACTGCCTTCATGTGCTTGAAGTGCTTTGTCAAGCCTAGTTCAAGGCTATAGGAAATTACATAGGATATACAATACCAAAGTAGACATCTGGGTGGTATTAATTAGTGCAATATTGTATTCCCATGGATTATCCCTCAAGAAATTCTTTGTATTTGGTCAGTGATGGGGTATTACTTCTTTCCACAAAATGTAACTAATTACATTTCCTAGGAAAGTTGGGTGGGTACAACAGAAGAATTATTTGTCTTTGTTTCCAGCTAAGACTTTTTCCAAAAGTCTCATAACTCTAATGGCTCCTGGTCCTCTTGGCAGCAGTTTCTTGATATCAAGTCCTTACCCATCTTATATTTTAAAACCCCAAATAACCAATATCTTTTAGGTAGTGCTTTTCTCCTTGCCTTTAACGTTTGTGTATGTGCCTGTGCATGTCTATAATAAAATAGACCATTATTTTAAATTATGCTTAAACTTACTTATACAGTTATCAACTTGTAGTAAAATAATGTAACTTCTTTTTTTTTTTAATTTGGGGAGTGATGTGTAGGTGCTGAAATTAAATCTGATCTAATCTGCCCATAGGAAGCATGCTTAGGAAGTCACTCCTGACTTCCTCCCATTCAAAATATCTGGTAAATAGCTCCAAAACAGGCTTGCTGGTTATGTATTTTGTGTGTGTCCCCTGCAGACCTATTGAAGATCACAAATCTGAGAGTCAAATTTGTCAAGCTGCACACGCTGGGAGATAACCTGTTGGACTCCAGGATGGAGATCCGAGAGAAGTACTACTATGCCATCTACGACATGGTGGTCCGCGGGAACTGCTTCTGCTACGGGCACGCCAGCGAGTGCGCGCCCGTGGAGGGCTTGGACGAGGAGGTGGAAGGAATGGTAAATATTCACACTCTTCTGCACAAAGCTCTTCTTGTCTGTGCCTCTCTTAAGTGATTTGAACACAAATGTGAAGATGATATTCTGTCCCTCACCTCTACGCGCTTGATTTCCAAACAACAAAACTGTTGTAATTATTCCTCCTTGGCAAACACATCTGTCATTATTGGTATTAATCAAACACGTATCTTAGACCAGGTGATAAATGTTTTAGCATTCCTTTTCTGATCATGTTACAGGGCTGATGAAACTGAAAGGTAGGAATGAAGAAAGGGAGCGTAACCTTAATTGGTCAGAGACTGATGTATGAGTTGACTTGGTTACCTTAAAATTGAAGTGGAATAGAGGCATCAAAGGCTGAAACACTTGTGAATCAAGCATAACCTGTGTTTGTATTAGTCGTTACCAGCTGAAAAATCCAGGTTGTAGCTCTAATAAACACAGGCCCTGAAGGAAAACCTGATTGCTTCCATGGTATGCTGCTGCACAAGTGCACATCCCTTCTGGGGTCTGCTTTTCCCCATGGTTTGTGCATGACAAGCCATACTAGCACCCTGTTAATGGGTGAGTTATTAACTGGTTGGAGATGTGGAAGCATGTGGGAGGATTGTGTGGGCTCTCCAGGGCTGCAGGATGCTGTCGAGCCGAGTGCTCCACTGCCCTGTGTTTGGTCAGTGTCTACACCCAAGCTTTGCCTTTAGCATTGTGGCTACAGTGCTGGTAGTGCCAGTGGCAGCAGCTGTCACACAACCACTCTTGGTCTGCTTGGTGCTTGTTCTGTACACAGGGCAAAGGCAAAACCTGGGGCTGATGGATAAACACCATCCAAACTGTCTGTTATCTTTGCTCTGAGAGCCAAGGCAGGGCTGGAAAGAGGGCACTGGGCTAGTGACCTGCTGATGTAAATAGATGCATGTTAATAGCTAATTTACAGCTAATAAACTGCTGACGTTTAAAGTTCCAAGAGGCTTCTGTGGTTATTGGAGTGGAGCTGTGTTCTCCTTCTTTCTTTCTGAAAGCATTTATTCTGGCACTAGTTCTAGTAAGGAAAGAAGGACTAGTTCTAGTAAGGAAAGAAATTTGTATGAGGACACCTGGGATTGGAGTGGAGCTGTGCTCTCCTTCTTTCTTTCTGAAAGCATTTATTCTGGCACTAGTTCTAGTAAGGAAAGAAGGACAAATTTGTATGAGGACACCTGGTCAGGTGAAGGACATTCCTGTGGCCCTTTTTTGCCTTTTCTAAATGCAGTTACATGGATTAAAGTCTCCAAAAGTATATGTCTATTATGTGCTAACTTTATTTTGCATTCATTGTAGAATGGTTTGGGGTTTTTTACTTTTTCATTTATAAACAACTCATCTTTTCATTATTTTTTTAATTTCCTCCCTTTTTTTTTCAATTACAGGTTCATGGTCACTGCATGTGCAGACATAATACCAAAGGATTAAACTGTGAGCAGTGTTTGGATTTCTACCATGACTTACCCTGGCGCCCCGCTGAAGGTCGCAACAGTAACGCATGCAAAAGTGAGTTGCAGTAAAATGCAGAGCTGGGTGCCGTGAGCGTTACACGCTGTTACTTGGGCTTGTGTAAAATCCTTGTGTGTAAAACCCTTCATGTTCTTTGCTTGGCACCGGTGTGTCTTTCCCGCAGAGTTGCACTTCCCCCAGGACTCTCACTCTGCTTTCTGTCTTTGTCACAGAGTGCAACTGCAATGGCCACTCCAGCCAGTGCCACTTCGACATGGCCGTGTACATGACGACGGGGAACACCAGCGGGGGAGTGTGTGACGAGTGCCAGCACAACACCATGGGACGCAACTGCGAGCAGTGCAAGCCCTTCTACTTCCAGCACCCGGAGAGGGACCTGCGGGACCCCGACGTCTGTGAGCGTAAGTGAGCCCCACTCCGCAGGTGGGAATGGCCTTGGGATCCCTGAGGAAATGTGGCTGTCTTGGAGGTCTTGAGGGAGCATGGCTGGGTTTTGTTTTCTCTTTGAGGATCTGGGAATTTACCTGGTCATTGTGTGTCCAACCCAGATCATGTTTAATACTTGCAGGAGTGACAGTTTCTACACAGCAGTTGAATTTCAGTAATCCAGTGTGAGACTTGGCCTTTCATTTTGTAGCAGTTAATAAAACACGTGTGACGCTTCCTTCTTAGCTTGCAACTGTGACCCAGCTGGCTCCCAGAATGGTGGGATCTGCGACCGCTACACTGATTTCTCCACCGGCCTCATTGCTGGACAGTGCCGTTGTAAATTATTTGTCGAGGGGGAGCGTTGTGACCTCTGCAAAGAAGGTTTCTATGGCCTGAGTGCTGATGACCCAGCGGGCTGTCAGTGTGAGTAAAAACATATGTTCCTTTATGTGTGACCAAAAGCTCTTTGAGGAACTGTTAGTGCCAGGAGAAGTTGGTTTGTAGGATGGATTTTTTTTCCTTTTTTTTCATGTTTTGGCTAAAGGAAAAACATTAGTGTAGATTTGATGAGCTTGGAGTCCATCAACCCTTGCAAAGCAGTTTGCCATTTGATCCTTCTAGTGTATTCAGTGGAAATAGCATAATCCTCCTTATTTCTTTTCAATGATGAGTCTCTAGGCCAGGGAAGTTTTACTGGGATGGGTGGTGGGCAAAGAATGAAATTAATTTCTGTAATGGGGAATTCAGGGGAAACTTCATTGTATATATTTAAGTTGAACATGTCTAAAATATGACTTAAGTTGAACACTGTCTAAAATATCGAAGTCACATTTTTAGACAGTGTTCAATTTAAATATAGACATTAAAATATGTTTTTTACCTGCCTATTTTAATATGCTTTTGACCTGCCTGTTTGTATTTCCCAATGTAGCTTGTGCGTGTAATCCTCTGGGTACCCACCCTGGGGGCAATCCTTGTGATTCGGAGACAGGAAACTGCTATTGTAAGCGTCTGGTGACAGGAAAGCAGTGCAATCAATGTCTGGCAAGTAGTTCACCGTAAAATCATTTAGGAGAAACTGGTGTGAGGGAGGTTGGAGTGTGGGAAGAATGGAGCAAGGTGCTGGCCACTGTCTCTGGCTGCCTGCTAGCCCATGCCTGGCATTCAGGCTGTAGAGGGCACCTTGAGATGTCAGGAGCCATGAAGTGTGCTGTGTTTTGGGGAGCTGGGATGCATGTCAAGGCAGACAGGAGCATCCAGTCTAATTCCTAGACCCATAAAAAGGGAGACATTAGGAAACCTGTGGTTGCTCTAAAAATGAGGGATCTAGGGCAATTCTGCTGAAGTCCTTGCTGGGGTGAAAGACAAAATGGTCAGGGAAACAGTGTTACCAAAAAAATTGCTTCCTAAACAGGCCATTATTTTAGGCAGGGATTATTTCACACACATACATTTCCATGTGTTTATGCATGCTGGAGTGTTATAGAAACACACTGTCAGATAACTGGATGTGTTTGTACAAACACTGAGAAACTCTTATCTAGCAGTGAACTGCATGGAAAAACCAAACAAGTCTGCCTGTCTGTCTATCCAGCAAGCAAGTTGCAGAGTAGCAGCCCTGCAAGGGCAGTGCCCTACACAAATACCCACTGCCCCATGTGGCTCTCTTGTCCTTGAAATGGTCAGCAAGGTGGGAGGAGAGCAGGTAGGGAAGTGCTGTTGGTGCTTGTGGGGGTAGACCCACAACCAGCGCAGCAGGATCCATGGGTTGTGGGGTGTGCTGAGTGTTTAAAACTGTGCCTTTGGGTTAGATGGAGCTAAGTCTGCAGCAGGTTACAGTGCTGGTGATGTTTCCTCCTGCAGCCCGAGCACTGGGGCCTGAGCAATGACATGGACGGGTGTCGGCCCTGCGACTGCGACCAGGGGGGAGCGCTGAACAACAAGTGAGTCTCAGCCCAGTTCCTCTCCTGTAATCACTCACCCAGCCTCATGATTTTGGAACCACAGCATCCAGGGCTCATTGTGCTCTGGGGGAGGATGTTTGATACCCATCTTTCTGCTTCAGAAGGTGGTAGACCTTGATTGCAGCAAAGGTGGCAGGGGCATCCATGTCTTTTCTGTATTTAGCAACCTCTGTTTGTGCCACTGGTGCAAGTGAATGTGTAAAACTGTTTTTAGTGTACCTCTGCCTTTGTCAGTCATGGTAGGAACTAGGTGTGGATTAAGCTCTGTCTTGGCTGTAACCCAGGGTATGGTCCATGTCAAAGCTTTGCTCTTACAGGATGAAAGTAGGACTCGGGCATGATGTGGGCATGGACAGTGACATGGATATGCTGGTCTTACTTTGCTCCCAAATCACCCTTTGGCCAATCTCTCTGCCCAGTGGTGCTAAGGGAAGCATGCTAGCTGCACTGGTCTGCTCCGTTGCCCCCAGTGGTGCTGCATGGAGTAGGATGTGGACCTGGAACTGCCCACTGGGGAGATGGACATTTTTTAGAGAAAATTGTAAGTTTTGAATATGTATCCATCAGCATCAGCATGGAAAGTTGTAGCTTAGATGCCCTGTCAATGGGATGCTGGGTAGCCAGCCTGCTTCTCTGACCAGAGCAGTTCTCTGTGTGCTAGGTGTGTGTCCAACCTCTGGCTTGTCAATAGCACCATATTCTTTGGCTCCTTTTTTTCTTTCCCCTCTCCTCTTCCTTCCACAAACTCTTTGAAATGTCATGCTTTTGTCTAAAGCCACGGAAGTTTCCCAAGGGGGTCAGAGAACTGTTTCCCACTGAAGCTCATGGGACCACACTGAGGGAGTGTGGGACACATCTTGGTGTGTCTCCATAGGTCATCACAGCCTACAGACACCCCATCTGCACCAGGGATTGCCGTGGGAATGTCCCACGGGCCGTCTCTGCTGTCTGCTCCCGAGTGAATGATTAGCCCTTGGCAGACAGCAGTGTGGATGTTAGGGATTATTTACTCCCCCGTGCTTGCTCCCTGCGCACAGATGGGTTACACCACACAGCCCATGACAGCTCCCCCAGCACAGCTGCTTCCAGGGCTGTGGGGTAACAGCCCAGCCATGGCCCAGCCCGTTTCCCATGCACTGAGCCCACGATTGCAAAAGCGAGTGGGGAGGGGACTGCAGTGTCCTGGCACGGGCAGGCAGCAGCTGTGCTTTCCTCCAGCCGCAGGAGGACCGCAAAGCCCAGCTCTGGCTCCTGACTCCGCTCTCTCATGTCATCAGGAAGGGAGAGCTTTGCTCTCCTCGGGGCTCCTCTCCTCAGCTGCTGAATTGCTGCTTTCTGGCTCCTGCTCTAGGTGTGGGATGCTGTGCCTCGCCCAGAATTCATCCCTGTGGTGTAACCCAGGTGGTGGAGTTACTGCCTCCCTGGAGGGGATGCTTCCCAGCTCCTCTTCTGGGACAGCTAAGGCACTTCTGGCATCTCAAAGTGAACATTTAAGAGAATCTCTGCAACTTCAAAACCAGTTTAAGTTAAAAATTACTCTTTGTCTGGGGACTTGAGGAATCTGGAGAATGTTCATGGAAACCAGAGGCATTTGCGTTTAGAAAATGTTTCTAAGTCCCACTCAGATTTAAAGAAAGAAGTGTATTTTGGTGGACCAAAAAACCTTCCTTTCAAGAAGTGTGATTGGGTGTGTGCAAAATGTTCTTAAAGGTTCTTTATGATGCAGGACAGACTCTAGGGACAATAACACAGCCAAAGGCAGTTTGGAGATAGGGGTGTATTGAGTAAAGAAAATGGCTCATTATGAAAGAAGGGGAAATCTGTGTGTCACTCTGGACAGACCTTCTGGTGATGGCCCTGACTGCCCCATGTCACTGGTTGAGTCTGTCCTACTGTAAAGCAGCCAGGGGTGGTTTCCCCCCACTGTAGCTGCTGATGGTGACCTGTCTGGATGCTTTGCAGCAAGTGAGAGCAGCTCAACATCCTGGGGCACGTAGGATCTTGCATGTTATTGCTCTGTCTGAGACCATACAAACAGATACACTGCCTGTGTGGCTTGCAAGCTTGGAGCCCAAGGCTGCCCTTGGCTTCAGGGTAGATATGCCTTTTGGCTAGGTCTGGTAGCAAGTAAAGCTCCCAGAACTCCTGTGTCCCAGGAAATCACTGCATCCATAGCATGAAATCCTCTTGCCATCCAAACAGAGGGAACTAGTTTTAAACTGCCTACTGGAAATGTTCCTGGTTCGTGCTTGCTTCCAGCCTGAGCCTGGATTTGTTGTTTTGGAGAGTGCTGGTTGGGTTGAGCCAGGTCTGTACCTGAGACTGTGCTACTGGGTTGGTAGTGCAGGTGGCCCAACTGCAGAGCCCGAGAGCCTCTCCTGTGTGCTGTATTCAGAAGTGCTTCTCTTCCTGTGTCATTTAAAATGTCATAGCTCCATCACTGTCTCAGCATAGCCAAGATCTGTTGTAAATTCATTCTCTTCCATTTTAGCTGCTCGAGTGAATCTGGCCAGTGTGAATGCCGGCCCCACATGTTTGGACGTCAGTGCAACCAGGTGGAGCCTGGCTATTACTTCATTTCACTTGATCATTACATCTACGAGGCAGAGGAAGCCAACTTGGGTCCTGTGAGTAGCAGTTTCAGTGGTCTGGGCTGTCTGGAGAGCTGTGGGAATGTTGTTTCACCAGTTGGCTCTTGGAAGTGTCTTTTCTACTCTACGTCTTTTGCAATTAAAATGTGGAAAACACAAAACTGAAATGTATCAGAAAACCATTAACCTGTAGCTTTTCAATCTTAGTATCAATAAATAATGGAGTAATTGAGGGGGGAGGAATTGCAATTTTTTTAAACCTGTTTTTTTGATTATGACTGTACAGTTAGTTTTCTGTCACCATCCGTCTCTGTAGCCCACCACATCCACTTCTTCTCTTATGTCAAGAGAGGTGGACACAGACACTGGTTCTTCTCTCTGGTGCCATTTCACTGGGAGTGAACAAAGTACACATTTAAGCATATTGCCACAGTTTTTATAGTTTCTGTACATGAGTAACATATATTTTATTAATGACTAAAACCATATTGGTTGTGCAAAATACTATTTTTGTAAGTGAGGTTGCCTCTAGCTTGTTTTGCCTGCTGGCATGGTATAGCAGGGTTTCTGGCTCTTTCTCTTGCCCATCACACAGCCTTGCTTTCAATTCATTAACAGCAGCTAGGTGATTATATCAATCACTTTTGCCTCCAGCAAGGAGACAGGGAGATGGAAATAATGGTTTCTGTAAAGCAGCAGATCCTTTCCTGCCTACAATCAGGGTACTTGTTGCTCTAATTTATTTATTTTAAGCAAAATGCAGCCACTTTGCAGTTTCAGCCAAGACTGAGGAGTTTTTGCTGTCATATAATTGCAGAAAGGGAAGGCAGCACAGAGCAGAAGTTGTACCACAGCAGAGGGCACATGAGCTGGCACAGGGTTTTTGGTGCATACGTGTCTGCCCAACTGGAGAGGTGGTACCTGAGGCCCTCCAAGACTCAGGGATGGAGAAGCCCAGCACAAAAATCCACCCTGCCAAACAGAGCAAGGGGATGTGCTGCTGGTTTGCCTTTTGAAACCTTGAGAACAAACAATTTAAAAAAACATCAATATTAAAAAGCTTTCTCACAAATCTGATGATAGAATAAAACTCCAAATTCACAGATAGGGACCCAGCACAGGACAAAATGCAGTGGCACAGAGTTGTAGGGATTGATAGGCAATGCCAAGCCCCCAATGTCCTTGCTCACATCCTGCCTGCCACCCTTTCTGAGGAGCTCTGATTTTTGTGCAAAGCCAAAGGCTAATAACTTACAGTCAGGCTCTGTTCAAAGAGTGTGAGAATACATGAAGGGACATCCTGAAGTGATACGTATATATGTAGACATTTCCTAGCATTTTATCCCTTTCTACTGAAGCAGCTTCCTTAGGAATGCACAGGATGTTGTTCTATGGAGAGAACTATTTGTGGATACAGATACATTTGAAACAGGAAATTTGAGCTTCATGTTTCTATTTTCTGTTACATTTTTCTTCTTCTTTGCTTTATATAAAAAACAGATAAAAAACCTGAGACTGAAAAGGGTGACCATGTGTTGATTTGGCTAGGAAATACCTATCAATAATTAGGATCTCTGTTCTTTAGTGATACCCTGCTCATTAAAGCCACAATCTGCTTTTCCAATATTATTTTGAGCAGCAGTTTGGTTTGAAACAGCCTGGTGTAGTCAGGGAGCAATTAGCACTCAGCCTTCGATGGTTAATGGAACAGTGATCTGCCACTGCAGTAAATCCTACTGCTACAAGTACAATGTGGAAATCTGTATGGTGAATGAGATGTCAGAGCTGGTGAATTAGTTACTCACAGCAAGTTTTTAAATTTAATTCTGCACCATAGCAGAGAAATAAATGAAGAGTTGTGCAGTCTTGTCTTATCTCTCTTGCATTCGTAACGTTGGAAAGTGAAAGAGCAATGCTGTGCACACGTATGGATTTCAAAGAGAATTTGTGTTGTCTGGGATGCCAGCAGTGGATGCTACAATCCAGAAGAACCCTGCACTTCATGTACTCCCATGGGACTTGCAAATGTACTGGATCAGTACTGAAATATCTGTTCCCTGTTTTGTAGGGAGTGAGCATAATAGAGCGCCAGTACACGCCAGACCGCACACCGTCGTGGACAGGCATAGGATTTGTGAGGGTCCCTGAGGGGGCCTACCTGGAGTTCCACATTGACAACATCCCCTACTCCATGGAGTATGATGTTCTGATCCGCTACGAGCCGCAGGTGGGTCTGTGAGGATGGGCATTGCTGCCTCCCCGCAGGTGCTGGCTGTCCTGCTGCCCAGCTGATGTGAGCCTGGCACTTAAGGAGTCATCAGGGCTCAAAGAGAAGGACAGGTGCTCAGTTAAAAGTCCGAGATGTGTGAAAATCCAAAATTATATTGACTATTTCTAGTACTGTTTGCTTTAGAGTTTGTTTCGCTACTGCATTGTTTCAGCACCTATTTAATGAGCGAGTTAAAAAGTGACAAGTCCCATCAGAGCAGATTAGACTATAAATTTGTTATTGGCCAGATCAGATGGGCATTGTGCACCTTAGGAAGCGAATTGCCCATCTTGGATGTTGAATGCCTGCAGCCAAGAGTTGGCAAGCAGATGGCTTTGATAATTCACAGAATGAAGGGAAAGAGAAAAATCCCTCCATCTCCTTGCCTGTTGGCAGCAACTAACTGCAGTGAATACTCAGATACAGGACCCAGAGGTGAGGGGAGAGGAGTCACCAAACCCCCTGTTGCTGTAGCCCCATCCTCCCTGAAGCACCCTGACCACCCTGTCTGTGCTCACACTTTTCCTGGCCTGAGCTCTGGATCCTTCCAGGAGTTTATGATTATTACTTGATACTGATGAGCCTTTTTTTTTCCCTAGTTGCCTGATCAGTGGGAAAAAGCTGTGATCAGTGTCTCACGCCCAGGCAAGATTCCCACAGGTAGTCGGTGTGGCAACACAGTTCCTGATGACGATAATCAAGTGGTTTCACTGTCACCTGGATCCAGGTTGGTATAACTGGATGGGCAAAAGGAGAGAAAAATAGAACATTTAAAAATTGAAGTACAATAATGTCATATTTTCAGTTTGTTGTAACCTCTGTGAAAATAGGTGAAAATTTCTAGTGGGTTATAAAAATCACATTTAGTAATGTGTCTGTAGGCTCAAAGCTTTTAAGTTTATTCTCATATTCTGATACGGTTTGCTCACTGAGCAGAGGGAGGGGGAGGTGTTTGCACAGCCTGTGAGTGAACACTGGTTTGACTCTTTACCTTGCTGATAACCTTTTCCGGTTCTGACTTCCATAAACCTCCAAACTGCCTCTCTCACGTCGCAGCTTTTGTTCTGTCAGGTCTTGGCTGCTTTCTGTTATCTTGATTGCTCTATAGGGGCACCTGAAAGGCTTTATGGTGCCGTGCGTTTGAAGTAAGGGCTGTTTTTGTTTCCTGTTCCTCATTCAGATACGTTGTTCTCCCGCGGCCCGTGTGCTTCGAGAAGGGGCTGAATTACACCATCCGCCTGGAGCTGGCCCAGTACTCCTCAGTGGATACAGAGACTGAGAACCCGTACACACTCATTGACTCTGTGAGCAGAACTTATTGCAGGGATGCTCTTAAAAGCCTGGAAGTTTGCATTTCCCCCCATGTAAATTCAAAGTAGTATTTTGCAGCATTGTTCCTTACAGCTGAAGTCAGATTTCAGCTGAACAATGTAATACAGCATAGGTTTCTTCAAAAGTTCCTCAAAGTATGTGAGCTGTTTTTCTGCTGAGAGGCTTTTGAGGTATTTTGCAGGACTGCAGCTAGTCCACAGACCTGTAGTTTCTTTGGGAAGGCTCATGTGTGTCATGTCAGTCATGAAAATCAATGTCAGTGTCAATCTTCTTCTTTAGAATTGATAGGATTTGGTAGATTTGGTAAGAATTTGTCAGATACCAGAAGTATTCCACCAAAACTAGAGAAATACTGTCATTTACCTTCCAAATTCTGTCTGGCTGTTTCCTTTTTAGCCAGAAAAAAGTTAGAAACTGGGATGATACTAAAGTTTCACAATTTTGGTGGAGGCTATTTATAAGTAGTGACACTTTGTCGTTGTAAAATTGTTTTGTAGCTTGTTCTCATGCCATACTGCAAATCGCTGGACATATTCACAGTGGGAGGCTCAGGCGAAGACGTGGTCACGAACAGCGCTTGGGAAACTTTCCAAAGATACCGGTGTTTGGAAAACAGCAGGAGTGTTGTGAAAACTCCCATGACAGATGTCTGCAAGAACATAATATTCAGCATTTCTGCTCTACTGCATGAGACTGCATTATGTACGTAACCATCTACTCGTAGGGCAAACTGTGCCTGGGGGCTGGATGGCGCTTGCAGGCAGAGCAGTTTGCATGGGGAAGACATGGGATGAGGCAGGGGATTCATGTGTCCTGTGCCACAGTGCTCACTTTCTCCAATGTTTTTCTCTGCTCAGCATGCCAGTGTGACCCGCAGGGCTCCCTGAGTTCAGTGTGTGACCCCAATGGAGGACAGTGCCAGTGTCGTCCCAACGTTGTTGGAAGACAATGCGACAGATGCGCCCCTGGCACCTTTGGCTTTGGGCCAAGTGGATGCCGACGTATGTTAAACCCTTGGCTCTGGGCTGTGCTGTGGTTGGGGCCCTGAGGTTATGGCTGGTCATGGAAACTCAGCCCCTCTCCCACTCTCTTGCAGCGTGCGAGTGCCATGTCCGAGGCTCTTACAACGCCTTCTGTGACGTGGAGACGGGCCAGTGCCACTGCTTCCCTGGGGTGTACGGGCGGCAGTGCGACCGCTGCCTGCCCAGCTTCTGGGGCTTCCCCAGCTGCCAGCCCTGCCACTGCAATGGCCATGCTGACGACTGCAACCCCTACACCGGGGAGTGCCTGAGCTGCCGGGACCACACAGCTGGACACAACTGTGAGAGGTACGGCACGTGTGTCCTTTGCCTGGCCCTTCTCCTTCCCCGCAGCAGCGTGGGTGCAGCAGCTCAGCTCTTCCTCTCTGGTGTTGGTGCTCAGGCAGGTGTTAAGCCACAGCAAAAGTCCCTGGGCCCAGTGAGTCAGGGAAGCACTTTTGGTCCTGGAGATTGATGGGAGTGGGGATCCCCTCTTCCCTGCCCACAGCCTGTGTCTGCATAAATGATCAAGAGCACGCTGCAGGACCCCTGGCCTTCAGTGAGCCATTGCAAGCCTTCTGAGAGGTGTTTCAGTGGCAGGGCTGTGTCCAGCCTTTGGTGTCCTGCTCCTATGCTGATGTAAACCAGGCAAATTTGTGTCTGAGGACACAGCTGCTAGGAGTGTGAGTGGTAAGGGAGAGCTGTAAGGATCTTTCTGCCCTTTGCTTCTTCACTTCTTCACTTCAGTGGTATAAAATCTGAGCTTATTTACTGCAAGGCTGCAGTGTGTTTGCCTTCAGTCCCTGCATGCTGTGTACTCTGTTGTGCAGGTGCCAGGCTGGCTACTATGGAGACCCCATCCTGGGATCAGGTGACCACTGCCGCCCCTGCCCTTGCCCTGACGGCCCCGAGAGTGGACGCCAGTTTGCCAGTGGCTGTTACCAGGATCCAGTCACACTGCAAGTCGTGTGTGTCTGTAGCGTGGGATACATAGGTACTTGGTGGGACTATGGAGGGGTGGCTGGCTGGGTTGAACCTCTCAGGGAGAGGATATGTTCATGTGGGTTAGATGTGACCACAGCACCAGCTGGGTCACAGCTGTGGGTTGTTGCAGGGGGTTGCCTCACTTGGAAGGTGCCAGGGCAGAGTGGTTTGTGTGGGTGGTGCCAGCATGACCATGAACTTCATCTGCAGCAGTGAGATGACTGCTGCTGAGCAAAGGGTTGACAGGACAGCACTGAAACTGAGGGATGAGCAGCATGCCTTGCTGTCCTGAGTGGTACCATCAGTGCTCTGCACCAAGTTGCCATGGTCTCACCAAGTGCTGTCTCTATTTCTTTAAACATGTTCCAGTTAATGCCCCCCCATGAATGATCTTTATTGCCTTGCCGATCGCGGGCTGTGCACAGGGAGCCGTGATGGCCATTCCCACTGTGCCTGTTTGTTCAAACAGGCAGTCGATGTGATGAATGTGCGTCTGGCTTCTTTGGGAGCCCCGATGAGGTCGGTGGCGCCTGCCAGCCGTGCCAGTGCAACAACAACATCGACACCACTGACCCAGAGGCCTGCGACAAGAGGAGCGGAGCGTGCATGAAGTGCCTCTATCATACCGAGGGTGAAAACTGCCACCTCTGCAGAGAGGGCTACTACGGGAGTGCCCTGCAGCAGGACTGCAGAAGTGAGTGTGAGGCACAGCTGCTGCCCCAGCACCTGCCTTGTCAGGGGCAGCAGTGGACAGCTAAATGCTTTTTACCTGGGAGTATTTGAGGTGGAGGAAAAACCTTATTACTTCTACCTGGAGTTGCCTGCAGCTGCCCTGCAGCTGGGTGGAGCTCCTGGCTCTTTACCTTTGAGACGTAGCAGGCACACAGCATTTACATTTGCTGAAAGGAGGAAGGATTTTGCAGGAGGGAGGCTTCTTACCCTCTTGATAATGGTCTCTGTTTATATCTTTTCAAGTGATAAGGTGGTGGGAGGAGGGTTTGGCTTTTGTTTACACAGGGTCCCTGCAGGTGTGGTTGGGTAGTGGGAATGAAGCTGTGGTAGGAAGCTGAAATGGGTGGTGGGGAGGCCACCTCTCCTGCGGCATCAGGCATAGCCCAGCAGGACAGGCGGGTCACTGAGCAGGTGAGCTCGCTGTTGGCCAGTTCAGCACTTCAAGCAGATTTGTCACCATAGCTGACTGAGGAGAGCTGGGCAGACCTGGGCTTTGCTTGTACAGAGGGAGGAATGGAGAGGAGCAGGGAGGGTTGGGCTGGTGGAATGAGGGACTCCTGTGACATTCTGTGTGCTGGGGCAGAAGCTGTAGAGGTGGCCAGCTGTAGGACATGAGGAGGGCTCTTGAGCAGCGCTGGGTGCCATTCAGTGTTGGGTCAGCCAGGCCTGGCCATGTCATTAGGACATGCCAGCATCTGCCCACACCTCTGCGGACTCAGAGAATAAACTAGATGTGAAGTCGGGGCACTCTGGTAGCGGGGGGCAGGTTGACACAGAGGTGCCATGTTTTTTATGCTCTTTCCCTCACAGAGTGCGTGTGCAACTACCTGGGCACTGTCCGGGAGGACTGCGAGGACTCGGAGAGCTGCCGCTGCGAGGCGGCCACGGGGCAGTGCCGCTGCCTGCCGAACGTGGTGGGGCAGACGTGCGACCGCTGTGCCCCCCACACATGGCGGCTGGCCAGCGGCACCGGCTGCGAGCACTGCGACTGCGACCCCGCGCGCTCCCTGGGCCCCGCCTGCAACGAGGTGAGAGAGCGCGGGCCTGCCCGAGGCTCGGCCCTGCTCTGGTGCGGGGTTGAGCTGCTGAGGGGCCTGTGTCTCCTGATGGGTTTGCCTTTTGGCTTTGACAGTTCACAGGGCAGTGCCACTGCATGCCGGGTTTCGGAGGCCGGACCTGCCGGGAGTGCCAGGAGCTCTTCTGGGGTGACCCAGGCGTGGAGTGCTTAGGTGAGTCCAACCCTGGTACCTGCTCCTTTTGGAAGTGTCTGCGTGGCTGGGCACACCATCACACCCTGGTTCACGGGGACACCCCTGCCAGGAGCAGCCCACTCGAGCCTTGGAAAGAGGGAAAAAGGTGTGGTGGGTTCTGCCCTGGGGTTTTGGTGCCTTGCAGGATGGGGCATGTGGCAGGAACCCAGGCCTGTGCTTGTCTGTGTTTTTCGTGTCTGACCTTTATTTAGAAACGAATCTCTCTGTTTAGAAACAACTCTTCCTTAAGGGTAAGATTGCAATGCTGTCAGGTAAGCCAGCATAAGAAAACATATTACAAGCATTTGAGTTTGAGAATTGTTCTGGAAACCAGTTTCCTTTGCCTTTCAATTGTAGCTGAGGACCCCTGTCTCTTGTGCCTTCTTACAGAGACTGGAGATTTTCTATTTAGTAGGAGACTTTCCTTATATTTCAAATAAAAATAAAGGAGGAAGCAGAGACCATGCAGTGGGTTAGCCATAGCTACATGCTGCAAAACAGAGCATCGTGAAGTAGGTTGTTTAGAAAACTGGATGGCCTCTGTCCTTTCATTATAAACAAGTCTGTTCATTAGCTGGAAAAGAAACTTCAAACATTGTCCAGACCAGAACAAACTTGTATCTCTGATCTGTTCAAATAGGAGCCTTTGCCAGGAGGGTTTGCAATAGATTAAGGTATTTTTTCCTGCAGGGAGGAATGTGCTTTCTGTGGTCTTTAATAAATCCCTTACAATAGAGATACCTTGGAGCCCATTATCTTGGTAGATAGGCAGGTCACAGCTACTTGGTTACTGCAGCAGATGAAAGGACTGGGGAGTTGTCCCAGTTCCTGAGTACATATTGGGTTTCTTGGGGGAAAGGCTGCCTTTGGAGAGGCTGTGTGTGTTCTGACATGGTAAGGGGTGTGCTGACCCTGCTGGCTCCAGGGCAGGGATTATCTTTCGCTATCAGTTTTCTCCATCTGGGTTTATTGATGGAGTCCATCTGCACACCTTATCAGCAGGATTTTGCAGCATAGCCTCATTTCTGATCTCTCGTGGAGTTTCTGTTGTCTTTTGAATGCATGAAAACCTGTTTTAATTTTTCTGAAGTAAAGAGTCAATCTATTCTATTGTTTTACCATGTAAGATCTACACTCCCCTTCCAGTCCATCATCCCTTCTGTGCCCTAGTTGACAGAGGAGACTCCCTCAGGTGGAAAGGCAGATTTTCCTTCATGACTGCATCCAACAGGAGGTCTCTGTGGCAGGTGGGGAGAGCTGCTGCCCAGGGCTGAGCAGTGGCAGCCTGTGGTGTGATGCTCTGGACAGGCTCCAAGCATGTGCTCGCTCGTGGAACACATCCAGCCGGGTGGTGCTGCAGGCTCTCCTGGTGTGCTGGGGTCAGTGCCTCCTGCCTGTCTCCTATCTTTCCTTGGCAAGAAGACAATTGACTTCTCAGCCCTCATTTAGCCCCGGGGAGTGAGTGGTGATGCTCATGCTGGCAGACCTGCAGCTGCTGTGTGGGCAGGTAACAGTTCTCAGGGATAAGTGGGTTGCAAGCGAACTGGAAAACTGTGCCATTTAAGGAGCTGCTGAGCAGTGTCCCTGGAAAATAGCAGAGATCTGGCCTGCAGCCAGTGAAGCTGGAACTGAGACAGGGCTTTGTCACAAAGATGTCTGCTCCAGTTGCGGGGAACATGTGGACTCCTGCCGTGGCATTTACCACCTGGCGTGTTCTTGCTGGCCCAAGCAGCCAGTACGGCCACATTTTGTGCAGGAGCAAAATAGGAACCAATCTGGATGGGGAATTTCAAAAACTCTGAACCATGTGAGTGTGGACACAGTCTTCACCAAGCCGGTGCAGAGGTGTGGACATTGCTCTCAAGGACTCCAGCGTGGAATCCTCCACTCTCTAGGGCAAGTGGGTTCTGCTCAAGGTTGGAAACCACTGGGTTTATCAATTACTCCAAGGACAGTGATGTGTGATCTCTGCACGAAAGGTCTTCAGGTTGTTGGCATCAAGAAACACAAGCTTCTGATGGGAAATGGGGACCATACTGCCCATATTGCTTTGACAAGCTTTACAATACTAAAAAATCCCAAGTGCCTGCCAATAAGCTCTGGACATAGCTGTGTGGAGATGTGCAAAATGGCCCATCTAGGACAGGCTGGGGCTGCAGCTCTCCATGGGTTCTCAGACACTTGCAGCAGCAGTGAGTTGTTGATGTACTGACCTGGGGTTTCAGTATACTCCAGGGGATACCAGGCTCTAGGGCACTCTTCCCTGCTATCCCCATTACCAGCTGCTGCCTGTGACATCTCTTCTAGAAACCTTGGTAAGATCAGACATGGTGAAGCAGAAGCCGGGGAAGGCAGGTTTTTGTACCTGGTCTGGGTGCTACAGTCTGTGCCCCCTGCTGTGGAGAGAAAATGTCACCTGATGTCTCCTCTCTGTGTGTCCATGGAGATCACACTGGCACCACACCGATGGGGCCAGCTGAGGTGGGTGCCTGTATTTGGACAGCATCCTGAACCCACAGCACTGGCTGCACTTCAGCACCCACAAATGTCCACTGAGGATTGCACACCACAGAGAGCCTCTGGCTGGGTCTTCAGAGACTGCTTACTCCCTGAGCTTTGAAAAAGCACAACATTCTTTCATTGAATTCTACATAATGCCTGAAACAAGCAGAGCAGAGGCATAGAGATGGGGAAGAGCCCAGCATTTCTCTCTGGCCTCATGCAGGTTCCTGGGAGGGTTACAGTGGGCAGGAGCTGTGCTGTGAGTATTGCCTGCTCTGGAGGCAGTGCCAGCTCCTTGGCAGGACTCTTCTGCCATTGCTCCAGACTTGAGCTCCTCTGCAGCTCCACGTGAGCCTGCATGTGGATGTGTGTGTGTGCATAAAAATCCTACCTGAGGTAGTAAATAATAGCACTACAGAGTTCATGAAATTCAGGTCTCCCAGGCATTCTGCTGGGGCGTTTCCAAAGCCTGGCAGCTAAAGTGCAGGACTCAGCATGCTGAGTTTTGCACCAGCTTCAACCCACAAAGCACATCTCCAGCAGAAGGCTCCAGGCTCCTGGGAAGCCTGAGATGTGGAGTGCCTGCAGATGCAGCTCAAACAATGCCTTTGCACAGTAGGTACTTAAAGTTTATGTTTGATCTAATATGAAGGAGATGACAATTTTACTGTCATTACTGTTGTAATAAATTGAACGAGCAGACCAGAGTGCAGTTAGTAGGAGGTACTGTGTGAGATTGAAAGTTAAGTGGTGTTACTACAGCCCCTTCACAAGAAGCATGTCCTGTGTTGACATGAGTATCAAGTCTTACTGTAAAATTACAGAATTTAATTGAACTACAATGAAAAAAAAGTAATGTTTTTTGTCAAATGCACTCTGCATGCATTGACAAGAATGTTGTTTTTCTCAGTTTTTAGTATTATATGGCTGGTGCAGGAACAGCAGTTCACTAAAAATTACCCTATTGCCATTGAAGAGTAACTTTTGTATTCTTAAAATTTAACACCTGCATCTTAAACTAGTCACATAGGCTGCTTTTGTGGAAGATGTTTTTGGTGTTCAGAGATGTCTTGTTTCCTTCTGTGAGAAGTGCCTAAAGGAAGTCAGACAAATTCTGTGCTAAAGAAAATAGAATTTTCACTTTGAGTTTCATAATTTTAATTGACCTAGGGTCATAAAATACTGTAATGTATTGATTGTTTCCAGAAAACTATCCTATTTTGGCATGGTCTGCTAGCATGTTAAGATGTAGCACAACTCCAATAATTTTAGGCTGGGATCTTATCTTAACATTCCTACTGAAAATCATAATGCTGAGGAGTTAGCACTATGCTTGCATGGTAACTTGAATCAATAGCTGATTATTCAGAAGAAATTTGCTAGCTCTGCAAAACTTTCAACCTTATAAATTGTTGAATGGTCTTCTTATCACAGTGCCTCACTACCACTGGGAAATTATGCCAGGAAATCGTGTTTGAGCAAAACCTTTGTGTTTTTTCTGTGGAGGAGTTAAACATTTGATGCTTGCCGCCCTCAGTCTCAAGCAGTAAAAAAAATTTTTCTGGAAAAATTATTTCTATTCAGCGTAGGATGATGTACAACACTTGTTTGTTCCTGGCATTCCTCAGTAAAGAATTGAACACTGATACTGGTCCTCATAGAGCCATTCAGTATCCATTCTGTCACCTCTGCTGTAGTACCAAGTGCTTTGACACTCCTGAGTTTAAATTAAGTGATGTGCAAATATATTGCATATTGAATTACAGTAGTTTAAATGGAAGTGATTTCTAAATATTTAAAATCAGAGGAAAATATAGCAGAGCTGTCAGAGTAGGTAAAAGATAAAGCAATTCACAGATCCTTTAGAGCTTAAAGCAAACTCCTCCAGCTAGTTACTTGCTTCTTTTAGATTTCTCCTCTTAGGTTTTTACATGACTGCATTTGGTATACATGTTTGAGTGTTACTTTTATCTTTAGGATCAGGAAAAAGGAGGAGGAGAAATGCACTGATGAAGGTGATACAGAAATTACCTATGGATATTCTGTGTGTGCATGCACATACATGCACGTGCATTTGTAAAGAGATACAGCTACAATCCTCATAATCTGCTAATCAGCACATCCTGACTGAAGGATTTGGCTAAAACTTTTCCAAAAATATGGTTTCCCTGAAGTTGAAGTGTGTCACAAAAGAATCGTTGATTGAGTTACACACTCAGTTAAAGAAAACAACATACGCCCAGTTCCAAAATGACATTTCAAAACAGAAACCTATTGTTTAATTTAGTAAATGCTCCTTTGAAAACCCTTAAATCTTGGGCCAACAATTTCAAAAGACTTCTTTTCCTCCACTGTGTTTTCCATGGGAGTTACTGCTATGTCCTGCTCTGCTTAGAGATTTGAAGCCTGTCTAACACTGATCTTCGGTGCCAGCAGCCGTGTCTGCATTAATTTGCAGCCCTTCACCTTGGCTTTGGGCCATCTGTCTGCTTGAAGGGAGAGTAATCAACCATTTGTCTTGAAGGCATTTCCAACTCAAAGTGGTCAAGGCATCCAAGTATCTTGAAGTAAACTCAACATCTGTTTGATTTTGCAGTGCAAAATGAACTACTTTTCCAGTTTTTTGTAATGTAAGCATAGGGGAGCGACATAAAAGGAGTTTATAGGACTTTGTCTTTCCCTGTGCCACATATAAGTAGAGTATACAGCTGTTGGTAGCTACTGAGCCACATCTGAAACATCTGCAGGCACATCTACATCCCTAAATTTGCCTGTGTTTCTAATTCTTGAAAAAGTTCAGATTAACCGGATATACTCTTAACACTGGATGTGTTGTATTACTCAGGTCTTACATCAGATTTAGGAGTGTGCTGGTTGGAGCCAAAATCTCCTGAGCAAAGCAATACTTTGAAGGTTGTGTTTGAGTTAGCCTCTTGGGTACAGAGCTGCTTCTGAGTCACACCATGGCCATAGGAATAGTTGGACATAACAAAGGAGGTGTTGGAGGAGCAAGAACTCTGCTGTGGCTAGAAGTGATGGTGGTACTTTGGTCAAACACAATACTGGGCATGATGTGCTGGATCACTGCCATGGTGTTTGCTGTTTCTAGCGGGTGATAGGAATCGAGGTATCTCTGGTACTCACATCCCAGTTCATTGGCAGAGATACTAGAATGTGACAGGAATTTTCTGGTGCATGTGCACCCACCATCCTGAATGATAGATATGTAACTCAGTTGTTCTTCCCTGAGCTCTTTGCCAGTCCCGTGCCAGTCTTTTCCAGTCTGTGCCAGCTCGGAGGGCCTCCTTTCCCTTTGACATACATCCTGCTACTGTCACTATGCTTTTGTTCCTTTAGGATGAAGTCATGTCCTTCAGTCAAAGAGACTGAAGCCAGCAGGTTCTTGGCAGGCAGGCATTTCCTGAGGCGGAGGTGAAAGCTGGCACTGAGCTATTTGCCTGGTGGACTGCAGTGCTCAAGGTGCTACTCACTATGGAGAAGGCTTTACATTATCTTGGCTTGGGCTTGCTTTCCCTCTCTTGAGAACTGGCCACAACTGCAGTGAGTAGAGGGCTTGATCCCCACCATGGCATAAAGGGAAGGTGTTCTTTTTCAGTGGCCTTGAATGTACTCCTTGCTGGGCTGTAAAATGTCTGGTGGTGGTGTCCAGGGCACAAGGTACAGGACTCATCCACTAGAGGTGTTAGAGATGGTTAGGGGTGAAATCTGGTGTGGTCCTGTATATGGTAAATGTCTTGGGAAGATAATGGGGAGGAGGAAGAGCAATAGGAAACCAGCACTTGTGAAAGCCATTCTATATACATTTCATTCAGGGGACTGAGATAATTTAGAGCCAGGATTGCCTGCTTGTGAGCTTGATAAAAAAATCTTAAAATGGAGAAGTAAAACACAGTAATGTTTCTAGCTGCGTTGTACAATTTCATCTCCCTGGAAAGCTCAGTTTGGGAGATTTGTAGGACTGTATTCTTCCAACTGTTGCTCTGCATTTAGAATAAATTACTTCTTTGCTCTTATCATCCCCCAACAGGCAGCTGTGGAGTTTGTGTTTTCACTTTGCAAACAGTATGTTAGTACCTAAATTATTTTCTCTTCTTCCCTAGTGTTTTCTGGTTCCAGAGATTTTGGAATGCACTTTACCATGTAAATGCTACTAAAGCCATGTCATCTGCATTTCCTGAACATGCAGGTATTCAGGAGTAGAATTACCAATATGGGGTTACGGGTTTTTTTTCACATTAAGCCTTTTAAATCTGCAAGTAAATATAGTGATCTGATTTGCCAGCAGCAAGTATTCATGTAACTTGATCAGACCTCAGGATCTTTGAGAGAAACCACATGCCATTTAGCCTCTTTCTATACAGAGGAATTTGGACAATTCATCATTATACCAAGGGCCTTATTAGTTGACAGAAGGGTTAACTGACCTTCAAACAGGAACTCAACGGTTTGCCTGCAGGGAGCATATTCCATGGTGAGTTGACTACTTAAGCACTTTCGATGTAAAGTAAAAACAATCTCTTGTGTCAGGATATAGTTCAAAGAACAAAAGACCGTTTTGCTCAATTGTGCAGGCAGCAGAAGTTATTTTTGTCTCTTGCCTATCATATTCACGTTGTACAAGAAAGTAGTTTTGTTGAGGAGCGATTTGTTCTGCTGGGGCTCTTTGTGTAAGTTTTGAACTGAAGACCACCACTGTGCTCTGGCATTGAAGCAAACAATGTACATGTTGAAAACAGCTTTGTGTTTTGCCCTATTTTCAAGGGGGCATTTGCTTTGGGTGTGTGAATTGATTTATGGGCCCTTTTGAGCCATTTAACCTCCTTCAAGAATGCCTGGTAAATGGATGTGTAAGTGAGGGGTTTTATCAGGTATGCCAGTCCTTTTCCTGTTTAGGGAACATATGCTTGACCTGTTTTGGGTGCACTCTGCCATAATGATAGGTAGATGATGTGCATATTTTCAAAGCCTCTCTTTTTGTTGCTTGCTGCCATCTCTTTATTAAAAGCTTTGCATTTTGGTGATGTCCTTTGCTGCTGCTGCCTCCTGTGGAACTAAGGAGGTCAAGTGGCAGCCTTGCTGCATGGAAATGCTTCTCCTGATAGCATTATTGTGTACAGAGCATGTCTGTGCTTTCAGCAGTGACTGTGCATCACTAAGTTAAGTGAGTAACTTCTCTCTGCGATGGGTTAGTGCCAAAGAAATGCGTTTAATGAAGGTGTGAATGCTAACTCTGAAGTTGGTGCTCAGTGTGAAATAATTCTTTAAAATTTACAAGTCTGTTAAGTGTCCTCATTTCCACTGAGGGGGACATTGAGGGTGACAAACAGTGTGTAGGCTCTTGGTCCTTAACACCTCAAACACTACAGGGCTGCCCATGACCACATTTTTGTTCTATTCTACTTTTCACTGCCAGATTTTTTCCTGATTTTCTGTATACCCAAAATGTCAGCCCAGTGCCAGGCTCCTCAGTGTGTGTTGTGAATGTTTTCCCACTGTCCATGGCAGGAGCATGTTCTGAGCCAGTCCTTGTACCTCTGCCTAGAAGATCTCACAAGGGCTTTTGCTCTGTAGATTTGTCCTGTTCTTGGAAGCTCATTCCACTTTTAGCACCCACAGTGCCTTACAGAAGAGAGCTCCTCCACTTCACCAAGTGCTGTGTAATCAGTTATCTCCTTTTAGTGCGCTGTTTGTGGGAGGTGCAGGGGCAGTGGTTGGGTTTTGATCTGCAGGGTTCCTCACCTGAGTGTTACTCCTCTGCTGGAGGAGACAGTAAATGGCTGTTCCTAGTCCAATTTTCCTTTTTCTCTCATGGTTTGCTCTTAAACCCTCTGCTATGTGCCTGCCTGCCACTTCTTTTCCTGTCCCAAGAGCCCTGCTGTACTCACTCTTCGTTGCAGGAGAGAAACTGGGATCTTTGTTTTCAGTTGCTATTCAGCTGACATCTGAACCTTGCAACAAATGGTGTCCATCCTTGCTCCATTATTGTTCCTATTTCCAAGATGTCCCCTAGTGTTATTTCCCCATCTCACTCACACTTGCTTCCCCCATACATAAGTGATACATCCATAATTAGCTTTTTATAATTGAGATGCTGCCCACCATATCTGTATTCATTTCACCACTTTATTATAACTAATTTTTTCCCCACCCTGCCAACATCACAGTCATTTCCCTCTCCATGGCCTTCACGTGTGCCTTTTTCTCCTCCCAGCATGTGACTGCAACCCTCGTGGCATCCAGACCCCTCAGTGTGACCGTGCCACTGGGCAGTGCATCTGCAATGAAGGCGTGGAAGGGCTGCACTGCGACAAGTGCTCCCGGGGCTACTCAGGCTTCTTCCCTGACTGCGTGCCCTGCCACCAGTGCTTTGCCCTCTGGGATGTGATCATCAGTGAGCTGGCTAATAGGACCCAGCAGTTCTTGGACAGGGCCAATACCCTCAAAATCACTGGAGTCACTGGTCCGTACCAGCAGACGCTCAACACACTGGAGGAGAAGCTCACTGAAATTAAAACCATCATCGCTCAAAATCCAGCAGCAGAGCCCCTGAAGAACATTGGCAATCTCTTTGAGGAAGCAGAGTGAGTACAATTGTAGTTACATGGATCAGTCTGTCATGGGAAGAAGTGGGAGTTCCAGTGATCTGGGGTTTACTTGGGTGACTGGTGTCCCCATGCTGGGCTGAGGGCACTCTGGCTCCTCTGGCTGGGTGAGGGTGCTGTGGCTCCTGGGCTACTGGAGCACCTTGCCACGCTCAGCACTGGCTGTGAGTGCCCTTCCCACTGGGCAGAAACCTCTTGGGGCAGGCAGGAGCAGTGCAGCAGCCACGGGCTGGGCTGGGTTGTCCTGCTCCCACTGCTCTCCAGGCAGCTAATTACCAGGGAGTCACTCATGCTTGCCTTGTGCTGCCCCAGGGCAAAGGACAAACACTGCTATTATGTGAGAGAATTAGAGGGGGAGAGATTAAATTCCTGGATTTCCGCGTGTAGCTGATGAGTTGGAAACTTGGGCTTCTTTCTGCACTCTGAGCACGTGTTGGGGGAAGCACCAGGTTTATAACACGAATTGTTTCCTTTTTTTTCTGAGAGTAGAAGCCTTGTATTTTCTTTTAGGGCTAAGCATACAAAAGTCTGGAGATGGGGCATCCTAACATTAAGTAGGATTACAGAGGCTTTCTATCCCTGTCTGCAACTGCTCCAGCTTGCTTGTGCATTGTGAAGGGAACTGCACAAAGCAAAGGGGCAAGGATTAAAGCACAAATGTCTCAATTAGGAATAGTTTGTGTCCTACAGCTCCCCTCCCTCCTGCTGGAGAGCTGAAGGTTGCTGCTGCTTCTGGACTCTCTGTGTATTGAGGGAGATCAGAGCAGCTGAGGAGCTGCTTTTTCCCTAACATACCTTATGTGTATCTGTTCTTGCTCCTCACTGGCTGTATAGAAAGTGCTGGACTTTGGAGGAGTCCTGGAAAACAGCAGACTGTTGGGCTATTGAGAGAGCTGTAAATTGATCTTAGATCTTAAATACTGCCTTGATTCTTTCAGAATGAGGAAATGCTTGCGTTGACAGGATCACCATGGATGGGAATAGCTTTCTATGCCCACTTCTGTTCCACAGCAGCCTTGACATGTAACACTTGCTTTTCCTTTTAGGGATATCCCACTAGCTAAAGCCTGCTCCGTGGCTCACTGAGTGAATGCTTAGAGCAGGAGGTTTTCCTTCAAAACTCTGGTGAGGAGGGATCGGTACAGAAGAGTTTAAAGAATCCATTGTGTTAAAACTAAGGCTCCCCCCTCCCTGCTTCCTGAAGTTCAGTTCTGTCTGATGAGCTCGTAGTAATCAAAACCACATTTGAGCTGTGTGGGATGCGAAACAAATTATGTATGGATCATAGTATTCAACTCTGACCTATGCAGTTGCCATGGTACAAGAGCATGATTCCAGTCCTCTGGAATCTCCCTCCAGTTAATCTTACACAATGCAGCTGTTTTCTGGGCAATTTGGTGCTTTGGGTTTATAAATGTGCTGTAGATTAAAAGTAGGTTTGTATAATAAAGGAAACAAAACAGTATTCTAGGTAGACATGTTGTCACAAATAACTTGGAGCTCCATGAGGGAAGACAGGTCCTGCCATGGGAGAAGCTGGGAACATCTCTAGCCACCATGCTCCAGTGAAGTATGAGGCGTATGACCCTTCTTCCTCCCTGTGTTACAGAAAGCTGACAGCAGATGTTACAGTTAAGATAGCTGACATAGAAGAAAACCTATCAGCCTTATCAGCGAAGAGCAATAGCACAGACACAGATCTGAGTGCACTGGAGACAGATGCCAAAAGTCTCGACCGCGTCGTGAAAGAACTTGCAGAGCAGCTAGAGTTCATCAAGATCTCTGATGTTCGGGGTAAGTGTCACAGGGAGGGGGAGAAGGCAGCAGGGTGGCCAAAGATTTAATTAGTACATGGGTTTAAGTACCAGATTAATCTTTTAACTTGTAATAAAACACAGTTCCTCAGGGACAGATTCTTTCTGTGCATTAGCAGAGTTGCTGATGCAGCAGGAATTTTTGCCCCTTTATCTGGTCTGTCTTCCTCTGCACATTGCAAAGCTGGCTCAAATTCTTAGGGCACAGAGTTGTCTTAAGGTATCATGCTGAACACATTGTAGATGAGACACAACAGAAGAAAGTACACCACAGATTTCATGATATGTCTGGACATCCCCCTTGCTCCCTTCAGTTTGTTAAATTGCTATTTCTGAGTGAAAAAAAGAGCTCATGGTAAAGGGTCCAGTTCTTCTGAGCCACCCAAGCCTTGCATGTCCATTGGCACACTGAAATGGGCCAAGAATCAAAATTTGCTGGAGGAAGAGGAATGTCACCAAATTACCTGGAAATCTGGAAAGCTGACTTTAAAGAAAGTATTTATAATTTTTCTAATATATTTCCTGGTTTGCAGGAATTCTGAGATTGTTTCCAGTGAACGTGGGAGATTGCAGAGTGAGGCGAGTAGCATGTGGAATAGGAGAGTCCCTGACTTTTGGCATTCTGCAAAAGAAAGCTGCCACAAGGTGCAGAGTATAGTCACCCCCGTAGGGTCCCTCACACCCACACAAGGCCTCTCCAGGAGTTGTCCAAAATCAACAGTTCCATAAATCAGCATCTTTCATCAAGCAGTTGTTTCTTAGGAAAGCTCTGACCAGTTTCCAAGCAGTGACTCCATAAGCCAGACATCCCAGGGCAAGCAATAAGAACTGATGGGATAAGGGAATCCTTAGAAAACAGACTGTTCCCCTAAAAACCTTCAAAGGCTGTATCTCTTAGGGCAAATAGAATTCAATCAGTAGGGTCAGAGAAAGACTTAACTTCAAAGACCAGCTTGACACTTTCCACCAAGCAAAGAAGCAAACTTTTTTTCTGCAAGAGGCCAAATTCTGTCATCCTTGCAATGGCCCAGCTGCCAAGGCCAGCGTTTCATTTAATGTGATGTATCACTAGCCCTGATGTGTCATCTGCTAACATCTGTAATATACATTACTTTGGGTTACTCAACAGTTCTTATCAGCTCCCTCTGATTTCTGCAGGAGCCTTGGACAGTATCACCAAGTACTTCCAGATGTCCCTGGAGGCAGAGGAGAGGGTCAATGCCTCCACTGTTCATCCCGACAGCGCCGTGGAGCTGTCAGCGCGAACGCGGCAGGAAGTGGAAGACTTAATCAATGAGAAGGAGGCCCAGTTCAAGGCTAAACAAGAGGAGCAGTCACGCCTTCTGGATGAACTCGCTGGAAAGCTGCAGAGCCTGGATCTCTCTGAGGTGGCTGAGAAGGTACACAGCTGAGCATCGCCAGGATAAACCCGGAGCAGAAAGAGAGTCGGGTTTGTGGTGAAGCAATGGGCAGGGAGGAGCTGTAGGCATGGCAGTGTGAGATGTGCAGTTGGTTCATGAGAAATGCCCCTTGCTTGGTTGAGCAGCCCCTCGGTTTTGTGGGCTAGGGCTGGGTTGTTTAACTGTGGGCTCTGACACTACTGGCTTTCACAGACCAGCCTTTTGTGTTGGTCTTCCTCCCACTCTTCCCAGCCCCACAGAGCACCTGTTTTTACATCACCCCTGTTCTAATCCAATGTTCTTTGCTAGGGACGGAGATCCCACGTGAGAAAAGTGTGGCAAATCTGCTGGGCTGAGAGCCATCCTCTTCAGCCTATCCCGAGTTCAGTGGTTGCTTTCCCTAGGCTCCCCTCTTCCCTTCTGCAGCTCCATTGGGTGTGGAGGCACTGTGCCTGTACAGTGCCCAGCCAGGCCTATCCCGAGTTCAGTGGTTGCTTTCCCTAGGCTCCCCTCTTCCCTTCTGCAGCTCCATGGGGTACACTGTGCCTGTACAGTGCCCAGCCAGCCTGTGCTTCTGCACACACCCACGGGCCTCAGCATCCTCCCAGGCTCATTCTCCTGCTCAAGACAAAGCAGAATTTACAGGGAGCTGGAGTCAAAAGGGCATTTTCTCTGTTGAAGGTGCCTGCTCATCTGTAAATGTGATTAAGGATGGCTTTTTCTTGGGAGAGGCTGGGTGTTCTCTCAGTTTCTCTTTGAAGTTGGCCAGCTGCATTCAGTGAACAATTCCTGAACAACCCTGGGTGAAGGCAGGCTGCAGGGCACCGCTCATTAACTCCCCCGGGCAGGCCAGGCCTGTGGTAGAGAGTGAGTTCTTCACATGCTGATTGTCCCTTGGCCTTTACAACCAGTCATCCCTCCCACTCCCTCAGCCCTCCTCTTTTCTCTGAAGGGAAGAGAGAGACATCTTTCTGTTTAGTTTCCCTTCCCCTACATTCCTGCCCTGACTGTTCTTAAGAGCTGAAGTCTTGGGTAGATGATTATCAAGGCAGTAAATACTGAGTTGCTTGGAGGTATAATCATGAGACACACACATACACACACACCTTTTTGCTTTCTAGCTACTGCTGGGTTACCTGCCAAAGAGGTAAGAGGGACTCATTTACACTTCAGAGGAGACAGCTGCAGCTAACTTGGCTCAGCCCCTAGGTTTTCCCAGGGAGGTTTTTTGGCTGCAAAACCTGAGTTAGTGACTATCATTTGGCAAGGAGGTGGGGGTGCATGAAAAGGTAAAAGAGCCTCACAGGAACAGGGAATTTTCTAATTTTCCCTCTGGTTAAACCAACTCCTGTGCTATTTCATTACCAAACAATTGACCAAGCAGTGGATAATTCTCAGCACAACGTTACTGATAGAAATATTTTTGCTTCTTGAAAAAAAAAGTTTACTGTGAAATTTTGTGGTAGAACAGTGTCCTACTCCAGCCCCCAGGCAATGGAATGGGAATCAGGCTGTGACTGCTTCCCCTGTGTCCCTGCAGACGTGTGGCACTGCTCCGGGAGCCTCCTGTGCCGAGTCCGAGTGCGGGGGGCTGAGCTGTCGGACAGACGAGGGCAAGAGGAAGTGTGGAGGCCCCGGCTGCGACGGGCTGGTGACCGTAGCTCACAATGCCTGGCAGAAGGCTATGGATTTTGACAGAGACATCCTCAGTGCGTTAGCAGAAGTTGAGCAACTCTCCAGAATGGTAATATGCCAAATCAATTGTTAAGATAGTAGAAAAGAAAAAGGAAAATCTGTCTGTTGTAGCACAGACACTAATTGATAAAGTATGTGCTGGTTTGCTGCAGAAAATAGTTCTTTTGGGTTGTGTAACTTCGTCATGCTTGTAAATATCTTCAGAAGGGGAGCTTGCTAGAGTGAAGCTTCATGGATAACTAAACATCAGCCTGAGTTGTTTAAACTAGCACTGGTGGTATGGATCAGGGCCAGCTTCCAAGTGTTCTGTGAGCTTTATGAGAAAAAGCATTCCTTGTTACTATTACTTCTGACTCCAGATGAATTGTTTTAAGACAAGCCCTAAAGCATAAGAAGATAAGCAAGCAAGCCTTCCATTTTCGTTTCTTTAGGTTTCTGAGGCAAAACAGAGAGCAGATGAAGCAAAACAAAACGCACAAGCAGTTTTGCTTAAAACCAATGCTACAAAAGAACAAGTGGACAGAAGCAATGAAGATCTGAGAAATCTTATTAAACAGATTAGAGACTTCCTAATGCGTAAGAATGTTACATTTTAATTATATTTTAATTCTGTGTTTGTGAAAACTAGCTTTACATCTGTATTAATCTTCCAAGAGTTAGTGCAACAGTTGTCATCATTCCCCCCACCTCCCCTGGACAGACAGTGTGTATGATGAAATCTGGAAACATGAGAATAAACAAGAGAAAACCAAGATAATAAGAAAGTGAGAGCAAACTGTGACATGTTCTTGTGTGCATTTCAGCTGAGGCTGTTGTACTGCTGTACTTTGCCAAGTATGTCTGTAAGTTCTGGCTAGAAAGACAAAGTAGTATTAAAGGGGAAGGAAGTCAGAAACTGCATTTCTTTCTCCGTAAGAAAGCAAGTAAAGGTTAAATGAGAGCCTTGTTTGCCAGCAGCCCATTCCTTGCCTGTGTGCTCAGGGCTGACTATGGTGGGAGCACAAATATGTTTACGTGCAGCTGTTGGTTTTGTTTCCTGTGGGCCTCGGTCCTCCCCTGAGTGGTGCAGCTGAGCACCAAGATCTTCAAATGGCTTCCAAGAGCACTGTGCCAGCAGGGCCTATATACCTGCTGGGCCTCTCCTGAGAGGGAATTTTCACCTTGGGAAGTGGCTTTAACACCTTGATTTTCCATAGATCTGGGGGAGAAAGTTTTCCCATGATTTTCCTTCTTAAGGAAGCAGCTGAACAAGAATTTGAGTGCTGAGATGTGACAGAGAGAAGCTTTTACTCACATCTTTGTCATTTGTGTCCATCTGCTAGAAGACAGTGCTGACCTGGATAGCATTGAGGCAGTGGCTAATGAAGTGCTGAACATGGAGATGCCAAGCACTCCCCAGCAGCTGCAGGCCCTGACAGAAGATATTCGTGAGCGTGTAGAAAGCCTTTCTGATGTTGAGGTCATTCTGCAGCAGAGCGCTGGAGACATTGCCAGAGCAGAAATGCTACTGGAGGAAGCTAAAAGAGCGAGGTATGCAGCCCTGTTTCATCTCATTGCATCAGAAAATGCAGTTTAACTTTCCCTGATGTGAATTCTTTTTCCTGCAGTAAGGGGCAAAACCAGCCCCTTGCAGCCTATGTTCTTTTTCCAGTTCCAAAGTAAGAGCATTTTTAACATTAACAATCTTGCTCCACAGCAAAGGTGCAACAGATGTTAAAGTCACTGCAGACATGGTGAAAGCAGCACTGGAAGAAGCTGAAAAGGCTCAAAATGCAGCTGAAAAAGCCATCAAACAAGCTGATGAAGATATTAAAGGAACTCAAGACTTGCTGACTTCGGTGAGTTCTTTATGAGTATTTCTTAACATAACAGAAACAGCACCAAGTCTGATGCTTAGAAACTGATGTAAGCCTGCCTAGAGAAAGCTCTTGGGTACTGCAAAGCAAAGGCTGCAGTTAAAAAGTTAAAATGCATCTAAACTGCATCATTCCTGCCTTCACATCAACTTTTGAGTGAGTTGGACAGATGCTAGGGGACTTTTTGCTCATAAACAAACCAAACCAGACAACAACAACAACAAAAAAAACCCAACAAAACCAAAAACCAAACAAACAAAAAAACCACACACACACAAAAAAACCCCAAAAACAACAACAACAAAAAAAACCACCCCAAAAATACCAAAAAAAACCCACCAAAAAAACCCAACACCAAAAGGCTTTTCTCACCCCATATCCTGCACCAGCCAAATTAAATGAGCAGGACTGTAGCCTTCTAAACCAGCAGGTCTGACAAGACCCCTGGCAAGCCACACCTGCCAGCCACCCTGGTTGTGTATTGGTGTGCTCAGTCATCTGCACTGCAGCACCAGACTAAAATAAACAAATGCTGGATTGAAGTGCCAAGTGCTACAATCTTGTCAGATAAAGTATTTGCAGACTTCATCTCAAAGCCCTCATGAGACCACAGTGCTATCTGTACTTATGAAGCTTGGCCAGTTTAGAAGCTTCACAAGTGCATTATCGGATGATGGAGTCAAATGTCTGAAGTTTTGTCAATGGATTAGTCAAGTCTTGCGTGTATAATGCAATCAAATACTTTTTGACCATGTTCCTTAATGCTTGTGCAGCCCCATATGTACCATTCTCAAGCACTGAGCTTTTTCACCCTGACTCCAAAGGGGCCATTTTTAGCAAAACTAAAACACTGCTTTTAACTCAGATATATGGACACAAACAAGGTAGTTGAGCAGGGTTTATGGAGAAAGTTTAGTATTATATCCATTGTCTTTTGAAAGTCTAACTCTCATTCTTCTTTCTCTTAGATTGAATCTGAAAATGCAGCATCTGCAGAAACGCTGAACAATGCTACCTTACGTCTGTTTGAGCTAGAGAAGAGTGTTGAAGACCTTAGGCAAAAGGCTGCTACAAATTCAGGGAATGTAGGAGATATAGAAGACAAAATTATTAGTGCAAAACAAAATGCTGAAGAAGTTCAAAAGGTGAGAAACTCAGGGACAATTCTAAAGAGAAGCCAGCAAGTCCCCCTCCACCCCAGGTTTGGCTAAAGGGAGATCAGTGAGCACATGTGATCTGTCACATTTATTGTTCATACTCTGGGGGTAGAAAATACTCCAACATTTATGTTCTTAACAAAGATAGCAACTTTTTACTTTGGTATCAGATCCTGAGAGAGATTTATTGGGAAGTTTTCAGGTTCTGAAATAGCTGCAGGAAAATAGTCAGCCTTTCACAGATAGGTGTCTGTTCCTCAGCTTTACTATATGTCACAGAAGAACTGGAAATTTTTTTTCCCACTTGTACAGAGTATTTATGGTTCTATGACAATGATAGGTTCAGGACAAACAAACCAGAATTTGGCATATACAGAATCAAGCGACAGGAAAAGTAATTATCTGAACAAAAAACTGAAGTAATTGCTAAATATCAGAGATGCAAGGTTTTTCTCTGTGAACATATGGCATTACTCCCAATGTTTGCTACACACTTTTGTAATAGCAAAAGAATGTTCATTAACAAAACAATCAACCAATCTGCCAAAGGAAGTTTCATTGCTCCCATCTCTTTTCTGTAGTTAGCCTACCCATCTCCAGAGAGCCATTTTCTGACAGGAGAGCTGCATTATCCATCAACTCAACAATATCCAAACACTAAGTAGTATTTCAGGTGCTGTCAAGTAAACACAAGAGAATTCCAGTGCTGCTATAGTTTGTTATCTTGCTCAATGGTTGAATTTAGTTGGGCCATAGGACTTCTTTAATATTAACCCCACAAGCAAAAGCACAACTGAGAAACCAACCTCATGACTTTCCCAGCATCTTCACTAACACCAACTGGTTCAGTTCAGTTCTTGTTGCTGAAAGGGCAGCAAGGGTCCTCCCCAGATGCAACCACTCAGCCCAGGAGCTGTGCCAGGTGTAGCTTTCCAGCAGTTCTAGGGGCCATGGTTTCCATTAGTTACAGAACCCTGTAACTGAACCCCATAAATCTCTGCCAAGTGCCAGTGTTGAAGCTGTAAAACAGCCACAGATCTGCAAAAGAGCAACTGAGGAGTCTTCACCACAGCTCTTAGTCTTGGACAGAAAGTAGGAAATATCCTGACACTGTTTCTGCTTCTGTTAAGTGAGCTCCCAGCGTAGTCTCTCCTTGCAGCTGGCTTAGGAAAGGACAGAGGGAGGAAATGCCAGCTAACTCGGGCTGTATTGGCTTCACTTGAGCTCCATCTTGTGCTTGAATTCGGAACAGGTGCTCAACAACGAGCTGAGTGGCAAGTACAGAACTGTGGAAGAGCTCATTGCAAGGAAGACTGAGGAGTCGGCCGAGGCCAGGAGGAAAGCAGGCGTGTTGCAAGATGAAGCTAAAGCTTTGTTGGCTCAAGCAAACAGCAAACTCCAGCTGCTCAAAGGTAAGGCTGTTCTGAGGAGGCAATTTGGCACCTTAGAACATGAAGCAATTTCATGCTGTTAAACCAGCTATTCATCAGCAGAAGGGGAAAAGAAAAGGTACTTTTTTGTTACTGAGACTTGATCTGCTTTCCTTATTCTTATGACATAATACAGTCTTTTGAAGCAAAGATTTCTACAGAATAAGCTGAAACAGGTGAGACACAAACTTCTGGTGAGGCACCTCTCACTGTCCCCAGAACTGCCTCAGGGAAGGAACAAAACTACTCTGCTCAGGACAAGGCCTCTTCTGTTCCAGCAAAACCCCCATCTCCAAACAGTACTCCCCTCACCCCACCCTGGAAAGCTCTTAAAACAAAAGCTAATCAGGACACAGGAGTTCCAGTTCACAGATTAATTTAACATTTACTGTTGACAAAGTTGATTGAACCAGAATAAGGCAATTTGTCCCTTGCTACCAAAGACAGAATGAAATTTTCCTTCTTGTTTTGCCAGGCCAGGAATTAGTTCTTCCCCTCTTTGCTACTCCTGCACAGTTACTGTGACTTGCTGAGTAGTCTGAATCATCACAAGCCAAAACATTTCCCTGTTCTGTAAAGGCCACCATAAAGCAAAGAATTACAATTATTTTAACCCTCAAAATACACTTCTGGATTTTCACCTTTGGAAAATAACTTCCTTGTTCCTTTACATCCCTATGTTAAGGAAACAAAAAGGTGCCATTCCAGCCTTTGTTGATTTTGGCGGTTTTGTTTGGTTTTTGGTTTTTTTCCCTAGTCAGCATATCTTCCACAACAGAAATAAATTTGAATAGTAATTTATCTGTAACTATAATTATTTACATTAAAACACCACCAATTAAGCTGGTTTTTTTTTTGCCTTCCTTTGCCTACAGATTTGGAAAATACATATGAAAACAATCAAAAAGTTCTGGAAGACAAAGCCAAGCAGTTGGTGGAGCTGGAAGAGACAGTTCGCTCCCTCTTACAGACAATCAGCCAGAAGGTTGCTGTTTATAGCACTTGCTTATAAACAGGAGTGGGAAGTGCTTGTGTTCAGGGTGGGTTTTACAAGTATTATACTAGTTCTTTTTGACATTACACTAAGACCTGATAAGGTGAACAGGTTTTATATTGACTTTAAAGCCACAGAACCAAAGAAAAGTAACTTTTTTGATGTTGAAAATAAACAGTACTTTTGTATCACTGTATGTACCTAGTATGACTCATTAAGTTCCTGCCTATTTTCAGTAGCTGCAATGGTACATCAATTAATCCTTTAGCAAGTCTTGTTCTTACACTGGTTAGACATCTAATAAAATCTTGGCTTGAGCAATGTAATTCTAAAGAAGGGTTACTCTTACTATAAAACATAATATGGTGACTCAGACCAAATTACCAGTGAATGAAGAAATAGTATCCACATGTAGTTAGTTATGCCACAGCACTTAAAAAGGATTGTATACCCCTTGCATGATACCCATTTAGACTACTTTCATGTCACTGATTATAAAACACTTGATATATAGAGTGAAAACAAAGAGGTCAGCACTGAAAGTATGAATGCACCAAGTTTATGTGATAATCCAAACTTGGACTCCTAAAATAGAGTTGGAAGGGCCCCACAAGGGCCATCAAGTCCAACTCCTGGTTCTGCACAGGACAGCCCAAGAGTCACCCCACGTTCCTGAGAGCACTGTCCAAAGACTCCTTGAACTCTGTCAGGTTTGGTGCTGTGACCACTGCCCTGGGGAGCTGTTCCAGTGCCAGCCACCCTCTGGGGGAAGAACCTTTTCCCAACACTGAACCTAAACCTCCACCAACACAACTTCAGGCCACTCCCTCAGGTCCTGTCACTGTTACCACAGAGAAGAAATCAGTGTCTGCCCCTCCTCTTCCCCTCATGAGGAAGTTGTAACTGCAGTGAGGTCTCCCCTCCATCTCCTCCAGGTTGAACAGGACAAGTGACCTCAGCCACTCCTCATATGGCTTCTGCTCAAGGTCCTTCACCATCTTTGTTGCCCTCCTTTGGACACTTTTTAATAGTTTAATGTCTTTTCTATATAGTAGTGCCCAAAACTGCCCCAGCACTCGAGATGAGGCTGCCCCAGTGCAGAGCAGAGCAGAGCAGGACAATCCCTTCCCTTGCCAGCTGGTGATGCTGTGCCTGATGCCCCCAGGACATGGGTGGCCCTCCTGGCTGCCAGGGCACTGCTGACTCATAATTCAACTTTCCACTGACCAGGACCTCAGCTCCCTTTCCACAGTGTTGCTTTCCAGCCTCTCATTCCACAGTCTGTCCATACATCCAGGTGCAGAATCTGGCACTTTCCCCTTGCTGAACTTTCAATGGTTGGTGATTGCCCAGTTCTGTAATTTGTGAAGGTCTCTGTGCAGGGCCTCTCTGCCTTTGAGGAAGTCAACAGCTCTTCCCTGTTTTGTATCACCTGCAAACTTGCTTAGTAGCCATTCCTGTCCTGCCTCCAAGTCATTAATGAAGATGAAGAGCACTGGACTGAAGATGAAACCCTGTGGAACCGCACTAGTGACAGGTCACCACTCTGATGTCACCCATTCACTGTAACCTTTTGTGCCCAACTTGTGAGTCAATGATCCAGCCATGTGCTGGACATTCTGTGCAGAAGGATCCTATGAGAGACAGTATCAAAAGCTTTGCTGAAATCCAAAAAGGGTACATCAACTGGCTTCCCTGACCAGCTATGTGGGTTGTCTTGTTATCACAGGAAATCAGGTTTGATAAGCAGGACTTTCCTCTCATGAAGCCATGCTGGCTGTGACCAGTGGCTGCATTGTCTTTCAGATGGTTTTTGATACCCCCCACATTAATTTTCTCCATGACTACCAGGCACTGAAGTGAGACTGACAGGCATCTGACTGACTGCCAGTTTCTGGGATCCCCCTTGCCCTTCTTGAAAAGCAGAGACAACGTTCAGCAGTTTCCAGTCAGCTGAGAACCCTCCAGATTCCCAAGACTGCTAAAAAAAAAAATTAAAAAAAAAAATAAAAAAGCAACAGGCATTTTGTGATGACATCAGCAGCTCCCTGAGGACTCTTGGCTGAATCCCATCAGGCCCCATAGATTTTGTAGGGATCCAGTTGGAGCACATCCTGCACAATTCATAGTCCTCCAGCTCAGGGCACTGAGACTTCCTTGGTCCATCATGTGTGTTGAAGACAAGCAAAGATTGTGTTAAACACCTCTGCCTTGTCCCTGACCCTTTCTGTGACACGACCATCCTCATCCTATAATGGGACAATGTTATTTTTACACTGCCTGTTGCTATTAATGTATTTGAAAACCTTTTTTCCTTGTCCCCCACTGTTCTGCCAACTTCAACCCCAGCTGAGCTCTGGCCACTTGCATTTTCTCCCTACAGTGGCCATCAGCATCTCTATTCTCCTCCTGGCACCTGACCATGCTTCTACTAGGCATACACCTTCCTTTTTTATTCTAGAGATTCCTGTTCAACCAAGCCAGTCTTCTGCCTCACCTGCTTGACTTCCAACACTTGGGAATTGCCTGTTCCTGTGCCCTTAGGAGGTGATGTTTAAAGAGTGACCAGCAATGATAGATCTCAGCATGTGAGAAAGCATTTTCCCAGGGGACCTTACCAATTCCCAGAGCAACCTGAAGTTCTGCTCTCCCCCTGTCCAGAGCTGAGGTTTTGCTGGCACTTTGCCTCCTGGCACCTGGGATTTTAAACTCCATCCCTTCGTCGCTGCTGTGGCCAACATGGCAACCATTCTCAACTTCACTTACGAGCTCCACTCTGTTGGCACAGATTAGACCAAGGAGGGCATTTTTCCAACTCATCTCCCTTAGAACCTGTCCTATAAAGTTGTCATCCAGGTTTTTAGGAATCTTCTGGCCCAGGTGCAATGCTCCCAGTTAATTTCTGGCAAGTTGAAGTTCCCTGTAAGGTCAAGGAGAGTTGATTTGGAAGCATCCCTCGTTCTCAAAGAACAATTCATCTGCATCAGCATCCTGGCTGCAAAGTTTATAGCAGGCTCCCACAACGACATCTGCATTATTTTGCCTCTTGATTCCTTACCCAGTGGTTCTTAATGGTGCCATTGCCAACATTGTAACCTTCTCTTACATTCAGTGCCACCCCTGTGCCTCTTCTGCTTTGCCTATCCCTCCTGACCAACAGGCATGCCACACACAGACTTATCCCACTGGGTTTCACTTATGCATCATGCATTAGTGTAGAAACATCTCAGGAAGATGAAGCCTTTCTGAGAAAGAACTACAAAAGTTCAGAAGGGCACATAATGGGAATCAGTTAAGTAGCTGTACACAGCCAGCTCTAAGAACAGCCTGTACTTAACACAAATGATGTGCAACAGTAGCATCCTGTTCACCCTAATTTCAGCTCAAAGTTGTGTACATCACAGTCCCCCTTCAGAGTGCTGTACAGTATGGCACAAACTGATTTACAGCCACAAACACCCATCAGCTACACAAGTCAGCACCCAAAACTGCAATGTGTTTGCACATCCTGACTGCTAACTCTGACCCCAGGATTCTATCTATCTGTATGTTCTTCGATTGACACCTTACCTAACATCATCAAAATCAGGACAACTACAGCAGGATACAGCACCACCTAAGCAAACTGAAGGGCATTATGGTTAAATAAATAATGACCCCTAAGCTCCAGAGGTTACAAACAGCACAACAGAAAAATCCTTTGAAGGATTTGATCATCACAGCAGTATCACACACTGTTCAGTGCCTGTACAGCCAGCAGCTGCCAGAAAGTGCCAATTTGGCAGCACTCAGGCCTAACTGCCACGAGACACTGACAGGCAGCTCAGCAGCTCATTTCACTTTTACATTTTTTTGTACACTTAACTGGAATGGGAATGACAGCAAGAGAAGTAACAAAAATAATTTTAAGGCCTTGATTTTTATTTTTAAGTGTCTGGAAAACTCATAGTCTCCAGTACAAACTTAGAAGTATTATTGGTTATAAGTTTCCCTGGCTTTTCAAACTCCATTTGACATAAAATGAGATATAAACTTTTGTAACTGATGAACTTCAAGAATGATTTGCAGTAAGACTGCTACAAGTATTCAGGGGGTGGAGGGAACAGACACAAAACTGTTTCTGAAAGAGCAAGGCTTCTGGGAAGAACTTGCAAATCACATGATTAACACTTAACATTTACCTTTGTTAAGCTAGAAGTGATTCTGAAATGCCAAGATCTATTGGAAGAATCAAGCTTTTCTGCTCTGTTGTCTCATTTTCATTTTCCATTCAGCAGCTTCCTACTAGCACCTGAAAGCAGATCCACATTAATTCACTAACCCAGCACACCCATGAATCAGATGGTGATAAGCTCAATGAGGTGGTATGGTTTAACCCCATCTCCATTTAAAGTAGAAGTTAAGAAAATAAATCACAATGAAGAAGAGTATCACTGGTGTTTTGCTGATTAACTGATATGGTAATGCTGGCACCCATCTCTATCACTCACTACAGATAATACTTGAATAAGAAGCTATAAAGCAAGCTAGAAAGATATAACCATCTTGGCTATACAAAAAACCAAGTAGCTGCAGCACCACCTTCTGAATGTGCATTTTTCATTCCACTGGCATAATGAAAAAGGACATGCACAATACCAGCAGGTATTAAGGTTTTCTTCAAGGCAGAAGAGCACGGCAAAAAAAGAAAAATGGCACCTTGGGAAAGAAGTTAATTTTAAGTACTGGATTTGGGCATGCTCCATAGATCTTCCAATGATGCCATCTGTTTCTGAGTTTGCTCACATAATCAACCTAGACACTACAAGGATCCAATCAGCAAACAAAATGCAAGAAGACCCTCCAGCCATGTCAAGTATTTATTAAGCTCTCTTGCTACAGAAGAGACCGAAAGAAAGAACAAAATAGAAAACAGAAGAGAAGAAAGTATGTCTTAATTGTGTGGAGAGCTGACACTGCAGCCCTTATGTGTGGAAGGTGCAGAATAACCCTCATGTCATAGCATCTAACAGCAAACACTGCTTCACTACCCAGTTTTAGCATTTCAAGTTTAAGAGAGCTGGACAATGGAAGCTTTAAAATCAAAAAGGATTACAATGAATTTGTCTTCAATCTTTCATTTCTCAATTAGTACTCAATTTTTCCCCTTAAGAGTTTTCAATATGAAAACCTGACATGGAGAATCACACAGACAGTAATTTTCTCTTTAAAAAGTGAATATAATTTTAATTGATCTACATGAGCCCCTCTTCTCCCAACATCCCAACACTACTAGGTCAAAACAAGTTTTGGTACTCGTATGTAAGAAGTAGGTTAA